AAATTTGCAATGCTGACATTAATGATTTTCTTCTGACTTTGTAGAGGCACCCCCCCTCCCCCCCTTAGTATATCGTGCATTGCAATTTCAATGAATCTTCGATCGGATGCCATTTTTGACACGGTTCTCCGTTTAAGTTCGGTTTTACGGTTTATTTAAAATACCCCCGTTGCAGCAAACCTGCATACTAAGCGAATTTCCATTTACCCAGCTTGATTTCTACTAAAATATTCCCTATAAATTTTCAGATTTATTTCCTATTTAAATAACATTAATTTTAGTGAGTAGTTAGGTTTGCTGCTACGGGGAAGATGTTGAGGTGTGTTTTTTCAATTGAAATATTGATAGCTTAGTATGAAATAAACCAAATTGCCAAATTTGATTAAAATATATCCATAAACAAGCAAACTAGAACAGTTTATTTATTCTCCATAAGAATAACATGGGAATTTTAAATTTACAATTTTTTTAATTTTCTCCGTAGTCAATGAACATTCAAAAACACTTCAATATACTAAATTATTTGTTTTTTTAAGCTCTTCAAAATGGTCTAGAGAGAAATTTAGAAATTTAAAGTTTTTAGGGTCAAAAATGAGAAAAACCCATTTTTACCCCATAAAACCCCCCATAAACCCCTGATCCCATGGTCCGATTATGCTGGTTCGCGAACTCGTTCAAATAAACGTAGGTTTACACGTTTGTACCAAATTTCATCAAAATCGGATCAATTTTGCTCGAGTTATCGCGCTAACGGACACATATATAAATATATATATATATATATATATATGAATTTGAACAGATGGTGTTTTTGGCCTCTGGGGACCTCAAAACGAAAAAGTAAATCGGTCCCGGGTCTAGGTCTTACCATGAGACCTACGGTAATAGCTTATTCCCTATATGGGAAATTCGCTAAAACAAAGACCTTACATTTTACGTGCATATCACTCTATGTTTACATTAAGATTTTATTCTAAGTCCTTGCGGGCCGTTTCCCTGTGAAGGTAGCGTATCGCCGAATAATGCCTAGAATCTTTGTTCCAAGTTTTATAGCTCTATATTAATTTATTCTTTTTTTAGCGAATTTCCCATATAGGGAATAAGCTATTACCGTAGTACTCATGGTAAGACCTGGACGCGGGACCGATTTTTTTTCGTTTTGAGGTCCCTAGAGGCCAAAAACACCATCCGTTCAAATTCATATATATATATATATATATATATATATATATGTGTGTGTGTGTGTGTGTCCGTCAGCACGATAACTCGAGCAAAAATGATCCGATTTGGATGAAATTTGGTACAAACGTGTAAACGTACGTTTATTTGAACGAGTTCGCGATCCAGCATGATCGGACCATGGGAACGGGGGTTTACGGGGGGTTTTAAGGGGTAAAAATAGGTTTTTCCTATTTTTGACCCAAAAAACATAGAATTTTGCAAATTCTTTCTAAACTTTTTTGTAGAGCTTAAAAAAACAAATAATTTAGTATATTGAAGCGTTATAATGCGCCTAATGGTTACGGAGAAAATTCCAAAAAATTGTAAATTTAAAATTCCCATGTTATTCTTATGGAGAATAAGTAAACTGTTGTAGTTTGCTTGTTTATTAACATATTTTGCCCAAATTTGGAAAATGTTTTTATTTCTTACTAACTATTGACATTTTACATAAAAAAACACTTTTAACCCCCCTGTTGCAGCAAACCTAAGTATGTGTTAAACTGGTTCTATTTAAATAGGGAATAAATGCGATATTTTAAAGGAGACAATTTAGTGTAAATCCAATCAGGCAATTGGAAATTCGCTTAGTCTGCAGGTTTGCTGCGGCGGGGGTATTTTAAATACTCAACTGTCCCGGGACTTTTTCAACCCTGTAAACTGTAAACCAAATGTATAGGCCTAATGGTGGCTATACACATTTCCCAGACTGTAACAAACATTAAACTTGTTTAATATCTATCTCTTTAAACTAAACTAATCAATTAAAAGTTTCCACAAGAAGCTCATTCACGTGTGCACTATGCACACACTCACGTTTTGGACCTTGTTCGGATTGTTTTGTAGATTATCCGAATGTCCAAACCTCGGAAATGTTTAGTCTTGCGATTAAATTATGATATGTTATCGATGGAACTTTATCGCGCATGCGTCAGCGTAGACGAGACGACGATTTTTAGTTTCAGTTTTCAGTTGTCCTTCTACCCTAGCGGTTAGCAGATTGTGCTTTGTAGTGTTCAACAGTGTGAAGTGTTCAGTGTCGATTGCTTTCCGAGAGAAGGTTTTGATTTAAAGTGATTTATTAGTTTTTGAATGGATAGTAGTACTTTGAATTTTGTATACTTTATGATCCAATTTCGCTTAAATAACTAGGCTAACCCTCTGTTGTTTTTATACAAAATTTAAAACCGCTGCATATAAATTTGTTATTTTACATTTTATCGGCTTTGCTTTCTACCATTTCTTTTTCGTCAAGTAAAATATGAATTTTATTAAGACACACCCTTGTTTTTTACTCGATACTTTTGCTCTTACATACAGTGGGACGAGAATTAAATTAATATATACGGTACCAAATTAATTAAGTCATTATTGATAGGGTTGCCTGGTATGAGTTTCGATACATTAAAACCACAAATGGCCGTCAATGATAGCGTCAAAAATTATTTTATCGTTGTAAAATATTTAGCTTTAGTTTTCAAACGTTTAAAATGCATTATAAAAAGTATAACCTCTACCAACTGTAACTATTAAAGTATCTTAACAAATTCCCAAACACCGTAAACTTACTTTACAGAAAAATCTACTAAAAATTAAATCTTAACTACGAGCTGGTCCTTACTCAAATTATAGGAAAATTGATTGGTTCATTGTTGTCGAGTTTATTTCGTTCAAAGCTATTGCGAACATGTTCACAGTAATGTTGGTTTCATCGATTTAATTTCGCGATACACAAAATTAAATTATTCCACACTAAACAAAAACAACCTTATAAATATTACTTTATAACGCGTTTTACACTGTATTATTTCAGTATATGTTTTATAATTAAAACAAACTAGTTTCGTATACAAGTTGGTCTATACATCATTAAACACCGTGGATAATTAACGTCAATAGATATGTAGCAAGAAAAGAGATAACCCGCCTCAGCGTTGTCTCTAAATAACTTCAGGTCATGGTTTATGATTAATAGGAAGATATCTCAAGAGTTATCTGTTAATTGTTTTACTCCAAGCTGGAGTGTCATTAGAGTTATTAAAATAAATGGCTCTTAAGTCATTAGCAACTGCAAAAACGCTAACGTCGATTTACCCCTTCTATTTCATGCAGTCAATTTTTGTCTTGATTTTCTACTATCGGGGTTCTATTCACGTCAATTTAAATTTTTATAATTATTAAATATAATGGCATTTTTGTTGTACGGATTGTAATTTTTGGTAGAAAGGACAACATTTAGACTTGAGATTCATCTTCTGCAAAACAATTAACTGATTTGTTTAGACTTTCATGCTACTGATTTAATTACACATTAGTAAATTTCATGTATCGAACTTTGGTTGAAAATCATATTTTCAAACTTTCGTTGACAAATTTGTATCATTCAGCATCTTATTGGTCGGTTTTAAACATTTACCAAGCGTTGATCAAGTGAATATCGTAAAGTTAGATAAATTAAGGGAAATTTTAGTTTTCAAACCTAAAGCTGAAGTGTTGACGTTAATTTTCTGGAGAGTAGTATGACGAAGAAGTGGTTTTAATACTGATCTTCGCTTGAAGGAGTTGAATTGATGAACGAATTGGCTAAAACACCAGAAATTGAGAATCGCAGTTTGTTCACAGCCTTGTCAAGTTGATGTAAACCCACATTGGCCTGACACTGACTGATCGTTGTTGCGATGAAAAGGGTAAAAGGCTCAACTAGTTGACTGAGGCGATCAAATGCAGCATTGATCCTCGGGTGTTAATAGTTGATTGATTCAACCGAATTTACCATTTTAAATGTTAGACTAAAGTGACATCTTCTTAGTCTAAAACTTGTAAAGTTTTTTTAATTTTTAGTATGAAAATAACTGAACTGTTTCTTCATTCACCACAGACGATTGAAAGAATAGAATTGTTGATAGTAATTATGTTGATCAGCATTTTATTGATGATTAGCTGTTTTACGATAAACACTGATATAGTTCAAGTCTGTAGATAAATTTGCAGATATGAGTCCTTCTTTGTATTGATAAATTTTACAAATTACTTGAACTCGTTTCGATGAACTCCAGTAATGTTTGGTTCGAGATACCAAGTTATATCTACCCTAGAAAATCCCTCTTTAATCAATGTTTACATTGTATTTTCCTTTTAAAAGTCTTCTTAAAACTGCAAGTTTACCATTAGAATTAGTATTTACTTCCTGATAAGAGGGAGATAACGCCTTATCTATTTTAATATACCTGAGCTAAATGGCGTCACTTTCGGCCTGTAAACCTAGTTTGATGTAAACCTAGTTTGATAGTGATTTTATTTAATCCTGAGAAATTGAAATAACATTTCCTACAAGGCATGACTTGAGTTTTTCGTTTATCATTTAGTTAAAATTGCATATGTTACCCAAATTCTTTTATAGTTTATAGGTTAAAGAAAACACTCACCTTTTGTGGTGTGGTAGGCTATAATATCAGTATCAATTTTTTCTAGTAGGTGTGTTCAGTGAACACTTCACAAAACATCTTGCAATCGACTTGGATAGAAAGTGGAATTTATATTGTGTGATATTGGTTTACTTGTAAATTGAGGGAACCAATTTTTGAAATGAAAGAGATTGAATACATGCCAAAGAGAAATTTCCAAAGACAAGTATCCATACGCATTGGTAAGTAACTAGGGATGGCTTAATACTTTTATTGTTCCCAAAAATATTTGCGCTATAATTTTTTTAAACAAATTTCTGGCCTTGTTTTAAATGTAAGTTTATATTTTTTTAACAAATCCATCTATTTTTTTAGAGCCAAGAGGTTTCAGATCCAAAGTGCTCATTGAAATGTGTGAGTCTTTATTTGGCTTTCTTGTGTTGAAGTGATTACAAGTTTGTGAGGTGTGGTGTTTCTGCCTTGATTTCCCATCTGTGACATGCATTGGATGGTTTTTGAAACTTTTTTTTATTATTTAATCGTCCAAACTACTTAATTTAATTCATGAAATACTATAATAGCAACTTACGTAAAATGGTATTTCATCTGAAGTATTTTATTGTTTATTGCTGTGTATTCAATGAACAAAACAAGAATGTGTCTAGTACATAACCTTTACCTCATCATGGGTTCATTTACTTAACCTTAATTGGAAAACCTACACTGCAACATGGTTTGTATCCTGATGTGTTCAAACCTTAAAATGCTATTTGGAGTGCGGAACAATCAATACTGTACCTAATTTAAGTATTTAAACAGGGTTGGGCAAAAAGTATCAACCCCCCCCCCCCCCAATTAACTTCTTAATGGGTTGTATCAGGAAAACCAAACTCTGCACACCTCTATATGGCATAAAAATGTACTTTTTTGTTGGTATCCTAATTTTGTCAGAAAACCCAAATTGGGATATTATGGGGGCAACTCACAAATTTTAAATGTAAAACCCCCATCTCAAGTGATTTCGGGTATTCGGACAAATTGTGATGCCAACAAAAAAGTGTGCTTTTATGCAATTTAGAGTTGTGCATGAGTTTCTTTTTCCTGATACAAGCCATTAAGAAGTTAAATGGGGGGGGGGGGGGGGTTGATACTTTTGCCCAACCCTGTATACCTAATGGTTTTACTTTACTTACACTCCCTTTGGTGGGAATTAATTAAAATCATAATGAGGTTTTGCAGAGTTTATAGAAATTATCTCTTACCATAATTTAGTACCGCAATTTGGGTTTCATGCATTTACTTAAATATAATTTGTCACAAATCATAAAACCATCCTACAGTGCTACGAATAAATAGTAAATACATCTCTGGTTCAACAACCAGCTGATATTAGTCAGTTTAAAGCTGCCATATGATTTATTCAATTCGTCGGTCACTCATCTTTGCATTAAAATACACTTTGCATTAAAATATGCAAGGTGTGTTGGTGGCGTACAAATGTTATCTCTAATCCATATGCATAGTAGGCTACCACTGAAAAATTTTTATTCAAATCACTTTGCATTTTTAAATCAAACCACCAGCTTGATTGTTTAACTCAAATTATTTTCCTTGTAAACAGTGATAAAATTGATAATATCTGTAAGCCTTTAATTTTCACTCTTGGAAAACAACACAACCATATGCATTTTACAGCAGTAAACAACCATATGATGTAGATAAACTCGTCGTAAACTGTTACACTGCAGTAACTCTGTGATGAGGAAAGCGAACTAGTGTAGTAGTGGTAGGAGGTCCGGGTTCAAAACTAGCCAATCACCAATGGATTTCATATATGTGATAATGCCGCAACCCTCTAGGCTTATCCTGAATCTGTAAAACCTTGTAAAAGCCTATGTCCTAGGATGTGAAGATGGTCAGTAAAGTTATGTTGGTTTTTACAGGGGAGAGAGCTAACTACGTGAACAGTCCCCATGTGATATGTATGGTTGGTCTGCCTGCACGGGGCAAAACATACATCGCTACAAAGCTATCAAGATACCTAAACTGGATAGGGATCAACACTAAGGGTAAGTGGAGATGTGTGGCACCTCATATGGTAGATAGAAACATCGTGGCTGTCAGAGTGATTGGTTACGGCTTTGGCAGAACTAAACACTCCATTCCCATGTTGAAGTTGTTATGAAAATCGTAACAGACATAGTTGGATTAAGCCACTGACAGATTGTGCTGGTGTAAAATTATTAATTTCTGTCGAATATACAGACTTTTAAACTGTTCAACTCAAGATGATAGGACAACTTGTCAGCTCTAGCTTTTGTGTCAATTCCAGTATCTCAGTAACAAAAATTATGGTAGAAAATAGAATCTTAGACGCTAACTCACTCTGTAACTGGCTCATTCAAATATGTTCCATGTTCAAGTTGTATGGGTAAATATGCTGGTCATCTAGATGGCTTTTACTTCAGTATACAAAAGTCAATGGCAACAATCATTTACAGGAATCACATGTTGATGAATAGCAACACGTTGTCTTATAAGGTTTCTTAGTCACTTTTATATGAGTTTTTATTAGGAGTCAAAATAAATTATCAATTCATCAAAACCAAATTTTGTTCTATGAAAATTATCTAATTTTTATCAAGCAGTAATTTACAATTTAGTAACTTTTAGGGGTTTTCAAAATATTTTTTTTCTGTAGGCTACAAAGTAAATACAATCCAGTAATTAACAAATTGTTATTGAGCAAAGTAAATTATTATTAAAATTTAGGAAATTTAAATTCTTAGTAAACATTTATTTCTAAGACACATTTGAAAACCATTTATAACAGTTCTATACTTTTAAACTAAGGTTGCTCTTGGTTATTATTTGTGTATACAGAAAATCCAAACTACATAACATTCTCAATTTAATCATTTCATATTTTTTCAATTTATTAGGACTCCAAATGCAAAAGCCTGTTGACATTTGATATCCTAACCAAGGCTAAACAATATGCATGCAACACTGGTTTATTTATTTATGGTTTATTCTATAGCTTTTAAATGTGCTGCTACCTCTAATTTAATTTTGATTTCAGACTTTTAAACACTTAAAGTCTACTGAAAAGATTTAATCCTATAACGTTTATCAATGGTTTAAGTTTTCCATTAATTTTTAAGCGTTTTCAGATTAATTTACATGCCTGGCTTCTTTGTTCATTTCTGCTTCTTAACTTTATTTAAAACTGACCTGTGAGTATTTATGTGCAATTTACATGCTATTTTTATTTTATTAAATTGGTAGCTGCTATTAATTTTTAATTGTAGACATTTTAATATTGGGCTTACGCTTTTGGGTACATAGTGCATGAATTTAGCAACATAAAGAGTCCAGCAAAAATATTGGTGAGAGGGAATTTTAACAGTTCACCATCATAACAGTATGTTTAAAGACCATAAACTTGAATAATGACTTAACTTCTTGTTATTTGCTGTGAATAGTTATTTTTAGAATAATTACATTAAATTCTAAAAATAATAAACTGATTCCATGATGTACCACTTTTTAATATTTAGTTAGCAAATCAGTTTGTAAACTTATTACTTCAGGCTTTTCAATTTAAATAGGAATTAAACCATGTTATATAATTGTTTATAGCAGAGAAATTAAATAAGCGTATTAAATCTTTGTACCAATTATTAGTGACTGATTGACTTTTAAACACTCATAGTCAAATTTCATCTTTAAACCTCTAACTAGTGGATGGATACCTTTTAATAGAATGCATTATCTATTAATAGTTGAACTCAAAATAAATAACTTCTGGAATCTTCTAGATACGTTTATTCTTTCTTTCAACTGTTGAAATGAATACACGTATACTTTAGATTCTTATGTATTTTAAGTATTAAACATACTTTAGATACATTAAAACGATTTTTAATCTTTTAACAAACTCTGTAAGATGTGTCATTTAAATCTGAGTTATTTTAACCTCTGGTGTTTTTAAATTCCTCTCTACAAATATTTGAGTTATAAATTAACAAGGAATATTGGTTTTACAGTTTTACTTCAATGGTATTATTTGTTGTTAAACGTTAAAATGGAAGTTTACAGCTATCCAGTGATTAAAATTAAACGCTTTTGAATAAAATATTTCAAGTGTTGTAATAACCGAATAGTTAAAATTATTTCTCAAATTAAGAAGAGTAGTAGTAGTGTACAGTAGTTAGTTGTAACTTGACGTAGTCGTTTATAACATAGTTATCATGCTACATTTAGGCGAGTCTGGCAGCAATTTTTCCATGTAATATTTCAAGTTTAAATAAAACCAAGAATAATATATAGTACATAGAACATTTTTTTCAAATAATTGTCAGGACACTTATGAAAGTAGGATGAATCTTGACATTTCTTTTGGGGAGTTCTTAAGTTTATTTATTGTGTCAATTCATTTACTACATCCATTGCTCTGACAATCATATTTGCAGTATTGGTGTATCAGATTTTTCTGCTTAAGTTTACCAACCAAAGCCTTAGTTGTCATGTATATAAATTAGTGATCTCTATTCTTATTGAAGCAGTCAACAACTTTTTTTATATAGGTATTACTTTTGACCACAGGTCCTGAAGTAAATGTTCCTGAGCTTGATGTTTTCTTGCAAGTCTTGTCATAGACAGTTAATTGGTTATTTGTTGTGTTATATAAATTACCGGTGTATAAAATTCTGCAAGTAATAAGCTACGACACAAGTAAAGGAAAATTGTTATTTCTATGTATTATATACTTATTCGTTCCGACTAAAACATATGAAATTGAAGAAAAATTTTATGTAGCTTGCATAAATGTTTGATATTCTAATGAAATGGCGAAAACACATTTTATGAAGTTGAAGGCTGAGCGTTGATTGGATCATCAAACTTTGTTTTCTGTCTTAGACGATTGAAAACAGTTTAAATTTAATTTTTTACTGGGTTTGGCCACCTGAGGCTGCTGCAGCTTACAATGATTTATCCCTTTAATAATCGATTGCCGAGCCCAGATTCAAGCCAGGAAAATGTTATGTTCTAGAGTTAAAAACATCAGTTGACAACATTTTTTTACAAAACTAAAACTTCTCAACCAATCAGATAAGTTGTTTTAGATAGGTTGCTTACATTTCTTTTTAGAACATTACAATTTTTTGAGCTCGTAAGAGATTCTGCCTGAGGAAACGATGTGATTGAAGTTTGATTAATTACCTACTGTATTTGATTATTGGTAGAATGCTATTAATTTCTGGAAGTTTATACAGAACTACACCCTATAAACTGTAATAATACCTTTGACTATTAATTCAAATATATTCCGTTCACAGTATTTATGCGGTTTTAGGCGAAGAAATCTATCCCCTCCATTTTGATCCTATCTTTAAAACAATAGTTCAACAGCTGAGGTTTACAAAACGTCAATCAGCTGCAAGGAATACATTAAACAAATAAAGTGGTGGGGGAACATACCCTCAAACCGCCTAAATATTGTGAACAGAGTATAGACATTCCATTCTCATATAAAACATAGACAAAGTTGATGTGATCCACCGACAGATTGTGCTGATGTAAATATTACTAATTTTGAATACACAAACTAAACCACGATTAACTGATGGAACGGCCTGTAACAACTGTTATGACCCATCAACTATTTCAGCAACAAAAAATATAAAATAGAATTTTAGACATTCTTTGACTGGCTGACAACTATTTTCTTTATGAATAAACAAATTACAACTGGTCGTTATAGATGAGATGTCTGCTTCAGTATTCAATAATCAATGATAATACTATTTTGCCATATGATACAGTTTTTAATACATTTTCCACTTTGAAATCTTCCTTTGCTTTCATATCAAGCATGAAGTAGATTTTCTGCTCAATAAAATTATTTAAACTGATTCTAATTTAATTTACAATTTTGTAAATACGTTCTGAGTTGTATTGCCTTTTAAATTTCATTCCAAACCGATTTGAAATATTGTTGTAACATTCAAAACTGTGGACTAAATTGCTGCCAGACTCGGTTGTCTAACCACGTTGGTTGTCGCCAGTTTTCAACCTTGGAGAATACAGACGCCACTGGACCTCAAACGGGAGTCTAGATTCCTACCGAGAGGAAGTGATTAATTGCAGATCTGAAAATGGTAAAGTTATTTGTAAATAGTATAAAGAAAATTATAACATTGGTCATGCTAATACTTGATTGAAAACACAATGAAACATAGAGAGTGTTCTAATTCATTTATATTTCTCAAAATCATGTGTCACACTCGTTACACTTTCAATAGTCTGCAATGTGGGAAGTAGCTTTGTTGTTTACACTATTTTTGTGTGTAGTGTTCAACTTGGGAGAGTATCGAAGACATGCTACAACAGCCTACAAGAGCCATGAGTTTTTCCGTCAAGATAACGAGGAGGCAATGGCCATCAGAACACAGTGCGCCATCAACGCACTTAGTGACGTCTGCACCTGGCTGGAGAACGGCGGAGAAGTGGCCGTGAGTTGATCCTTGTATTTTTACTGTTCAATACTTACATAGGCTCGATTTACACGAGAAATATGAATGCTTACAACACTGCGTAATATGACAAGTAGCTAAATGGGAGCGTTCATACGTGCAGTCTATGTCGCTTAACCTTTCTTGGCCTTTTGTGCTAATTGTATAACTTGTGTTTCAACCGTTGTTAATTGTTTTTTTTTTTATTTATTTATCAAATTATTCCATTCTATAAACAATATACCTAGTGATTTTTGCAGTTAAGTTTTGTGTGTGAGTGAGCGAATCCTCCCTGTTTCAATAATGATGTTTTATCATAGCTGTAAGTATAGTGTTACAAACCTATCACAAAGTTTTATGTGGATGGGTCGAATATTTTATTTTTCTTCTAGTTAGAGTTTAGATCAAGTAGACAATGATAATGCTCTTGCCTCTCCATCTCATCATGGCTAGAAGTAAAGTACACCTAATATAATCTGAAGAAAAACTTCCTCTGAGGAGCACCTGTCTCAGCGCGGGTGTCGCTGTCACCATAAAAACCTCATGTAAACTGAGACTTACTCTAGTTTTTCATTTGTGATGCTTTACGTCACAGCGCTGCTGGGATTAGTTGATATGAGCAACAATGCCTCCCAATGTGGAGAAGAGGGGAAAAATAAATAACCAGGAAAAGCCAGCCAGTAGCTTGTGGTCAGTGGTCCATTGGCAGAGGAGGAGAAACTTCAAATAACTCTTCTCATATGTAGTAAAATATAGTTAAAGAGTTCAAGTTGATGGTACAATCAGGGGGGTTGGGGATTTTGTCCCACCTTCACATCCTAGGACATAGTCTCTAGTGCATAGAATTGTTTTACACATTACCTCAGACTCTCTTTACACATTCAACACTAACTAACTTAGCCAAAACATTTTGTTACTCAGATTACATAAAAAGAGATACAGCAAAATTGATCAATACCCTGTAGCAAAATTAATTGTGGCAAAGGAGTTAATTGTTCCAACTCTACTAAACCTACAAAATAATCTTAGAAGTCCTACCAAAAAAGGCTATTCAGCTATACCATTCATGGTGGTGATTAAATATATCTCTCTTATTTTGTAGTAAATTATAAAATGTTTAATACATTGTTTTTCTATGCAGGTTTTTGATGCAACAAACTCCACGATAGAAAGGAGACAAATGATTCACAACATTGTTGTCAAAAAGATGGGATACAAGCTGTTCTTTGTGGAATCCGTCTGTGATGATCCGTCTATCATTGAGACCAACATCATGGTAAGCAAGTTTGTGGTTTGTTTTCAATTTGTAATTCTTTTTGACCTAGACATTAAGTTCCTTCAATTTCCCTTATCACAACAAACTTCTCACAACAAAGAAGAGAAATCAAGCTGGGGATTACCAAAGTCAGCCAGGGTTGAAAATACACTTTACCTACGACTGTTTTTTTCAAGTATCCGTTTCAGTTCAGTTCTTAGGATTGAAAAGTTTCACATTACAGCATTGTTTACTTCCATAACAGCATAGTTTTACTGTATTCATAACAACACGTGTGAAACAGACCAATGAGGTTTCAGGATTGAGAGAGAAGAAGTAAAATTGTAATGATTCGAACTTCAACTAATCAGCTGTTCAGGCCAATTTATAGGTGCAATTAGTGTTGTACAAAATAAGTCGTTGATAAACAAAGTTTACAAGTGAAAAAATGTGCAAAAGATGTCCTTGATTCTTGCTTCTTTTTACTCTACGAATAGAAATTGTAGTTTTTTCACATCACTCTCACAAAATCCATTCACTCGCTGTGAAACATACACAAAGTATATTAGAATGGTTTGGTTAAAAATTAGCTACACTGAAGTGTTATGTTATAATGTAAAATTTGTTTGCAGGAAGTAAAAGTGAACAGTCCAGATTACAAGAATATGAACACTGACAAAGCGCTGCAAGACTTTCTGCAACGTATCGAGCATTATCAGGAGAGGTGAGTCTGTAGTGCCACGGACTTCAGGCCCAAGGCAGCGATATCATGGGTTCTGATCCTGGAACCTGCCCCTACTTTTTATCAGTACAGTTCACAGTGTACTATAGCGGCTCACCCCTTGCTTTTCTCAATATATTCCACGTACAGGCTAGAGGCCCATCTGACAAAAAGGATGAAAATTGAACAAAACCCGTTGCTTAGAACAATTTCTTCATGTTAAATCATACAAATTGATGTTGAATCGAATAAGCAGTCTCACTCCCCCAAAAGGTTATATAATTTCATTTTTTTGATTGGTTGTGGTTGTCGCAGGTATGAGCCTCTAGATGAACAGCTGGAAACGTCACAGAGCTTCATGAAGATCTACAACACAGGGGAGAAAGTGGTTGTACACAAACACGAAGGTCACATACAGAGTCGCATTGTCTACTATCTGATGAACATCCACATCGTACCTCGCACCATCTACCTAACTAGGGTAACTATCTACTTTTTCCCCGCCTTAACATACTAGGATTCTAGGCTCTATCCCGGAATCGCTTTACGTGTTATATCAGGCTGGAATGTTGCGGCATTACCACTTAGATAATATCGATTGGTGATTTGTGGGATTTTAACCCCAGACCTCGAGATCTGAAGTCCTGCCCAATACCGCTATACCAGCCTGCTCCTCCCCCCCTTACTACTATCATTGACTACGTATTAAAGTAGACGTTCCATCCCATCCATATTGTGCAAGTGTAGCCAATTTTTACGCTTACAATCAATATTGTATTCTATTCAACCCAAAATATGTGTTTCTGGTTAATAACGTTAACTTCGGACAATACTGTGGTAAAATTTCCACTTCTTTATCTGCCCAATTGTGTCTTGTAAAACAATTTTTAATCGCACAAAATTATTTTTTCATTCTTTTTTTATCTGTTCATAATCAATCAATCAAACACCCTTTTGAACCTTGGAGAATAAATTAATAGAGCTAATTAATTGGAGAGTTAATGTTAAATTATGGATGTTAAAGGTGTTAGTGAACTATATTACTTTGACCTTACCATTCCTCTAAAAAACAGCTATAATCATATTCTCAACTGGTTAAAGATCAACACTTAGCCTAAAACAAACACAAACAGTTAGTTACTAATATCCACCACTTTCTTTTCTGCAGCATGGAGAGAGCGAGCAAAACTTGGAAGGTCGTATTGGAGGAGACAGCAACCTATCACACCGTGGTCGCCAATACGCAGACTCCCTCTCTGCGTACATCGCGCAGCAGGACATTCCCGGTCTGCGTGTGTGGACATCATGGCTGAAACGTACCATACAGACTGTTGAGAAAGTGATAGCGCCACAGGAACGGTGGAAAGCTCTTAATGAGATTGATGCGGTAAACAACCATCTTACACTTCTAAAAAGAACCCTTTACCTTGCCGAACTCTACTAGAGTAATCTTATTCTCAAATAGCGCCAAACCCTCCCTCGGATTTTCCTTTTGCTGTTCAGCATAAGTGTGTTGTTGCTAGTCATGGCTAAATTAATAATTTCATCAACCAAATAGAATTTGATAATACTTAAAAGGGTGTCAACTATAATTCTAGGTCCATATTATCAAGTTAATGGTTTTTTATTAAAGGGTAGTGCCAACCTTCGTATTTTTTCAATTTTTGTAAACAATACACCTGTCTATCATACTTTTTAAGATTGGAAAAAGCTGTAAAAGATCAGGCAACAAATGGACAATGCCCTGTATACTGAAAGTGTCTAGTAAAATTTGAACTTTTATTTAAGACTTGACACTAAGGGTTTAGGTTTTGGACTATATTTTAAATTCATGGACTTTATCATTTCATTTCTAATGTCTGTAGTTATGGCAATGTACTACTGTAGAAAAAATGACCAAAAGATGGAATCCGAAACAGCCAACATACAATAGACTAGCAAGTTTTGAATTATTAACTTGAAGAGCCTTGAATTGTGTTTAAATAGGAAGCTGGACACCCTGGCACATCACTTATATTGTCTTGATCTGTGCAGGGTATCTGTGAGGAGATGACGTATGAGGAAATTGCAGAGAAGTACCCTGACGACTTTGCTGCTCGAGACCAAGCAAAGTTCACTTATCGCTACCCTCGTGGTGAGAGTTACGAGGACCTTGTTGCTAGGCTTGAACCTGTCATTATGGAGTTGGAGAGGCAAGGCAATGTGTTGGTGGTCAGTCACCAGGCTGTCATTCGCTGTCTGCTTGCTTACTTCCTGGACAAGTCTGCAGGTATGTGTTTTTTTATTTATGTTTTCTTGTTTTGTGTATTTTACTCCTGCAAGTTTGATTCTTATTGTACAAATGTTTGAGAAACAAACCACTGAGTTAATATACCCAACAAATTCCTCCTTTTCCACACAACCTTCCCTATCTACTACAGCCTTCCCATTCCCTACAACTATCTCCATCCCTACAAACATTTTTTTCATCACTCCGTAGTCCGTACAGAAAGTAGCTATTTTCGATGAAATTTTATATCAAAGAAAATAACTGTTTCACGAGCTTTAATTTAGAGCAAGGGAAAACTTATCAGCTTATTTTCCCTTGTGCTTATAATTGACTTTCCCTTGCTCTTAATCAGTTCTCCTTTTGCCTACTTATGTTTTTAACATACATTTTTAAAATTTAAATTAGCTGTTTTTACTGTTAACAATTTAATTGTAGACAATATATTCTTTTTGTGCATATTTTTGCGTCTTGATGGAAAGAATCACTAAAATAAACTGTGCCAAAATTGATTTTCTGGCATTTGCTCGGCTTGCTGCAATTATTCTCGTCTTCAACTTCGACGCACTCGTGAGATTGGGTGTTCGTGAACTCTGCTTTGTCTCACACATCTAACTTGAGCCCTCGCCAAAAAATGCTACTTTCTGTACTTTTTAAGACAGTAAAACCTTACTAGGTCGATTAATTTGTGGTCCTTGAGGTGGTCAAGTTATAATGGAAACACATCGGGCTGTATATTTAATTAGATTGTTATCAGCTTTTACTAATATTTACTTATAAATTTACTACTTACATGAGTATTTTATTTTTACATATTGAGTAGACAATCTTCAAAGAAATGTTGTGTATTCAACAATTAAAACTAAATTTTCTGAAAAAAATGTTTTTTTACATGTGCTCTGTCAGCTGTTGACTGTCAAGTTACTGGGTGTGGTTTTATTGCATTTCCATTTGCTGATCGACCCAGTCCTGGGAAATGTCTATGTCCCCATCATAGAACATATTTTTGCTTTAGGACATACCACACCGTGCTGTAACTTCTCCATGTATGTTTACAGATGAGTTGCCGTATCTACAAGTTCCACTCCACACAGTTATCAAGCTGACACCTGTCGCATACGGCTGCAGAGTGGAGCATATCAATCTGGGAGTCGAAGCTGTCGACACTCACCGAGCCAAACCTCCCGTAAGTAACCATCACATCTACCTGAGGGAATACTCTCTTAAAAAAATTGTATTTAATATTTTGAAAAGCAGTTTTTGGGAATACATTCAATCTTGCTTGTTATTAAATAACAATGTTATTTACAGTATTTTAAAACAATTTTTTTCTAAAATAAAAAGATTGATATCGTAGGTTTGCATTGTGTGTGCATGTTTGTAAACTATTTATTGGTAGTTAGTTAACTACAATAAATGAGCTAATAAAGGCATTAATAAATTAATTAATCAATTAATCGTTAATTAATCATTAATTAAATTCTATGCCAAAAGACGAGTTCACAGAAGTGTACCATTAGAACATTTTGTATTTCAAATCTTTACTCAGGCATGCCAGAGAGGCAAGTGTAATTTTATATTGTTGTAATGTAAAATGAATGCTTTGGGTATAAATAGTTTGAGTTAAAGAAGCCATTTTTTAATATAGTTTTAAGTTTTGTATGGAAATATATTAAACGTACAATTGAGTAAATGTTTAATTTAAGTCTTTAAGTATATCACAAACCTTAAAATTAAAATGATCCATAATATTTAACATGCAAAGCACAAATGGTTAGACTAGTGTTCAAAAATTGACAAAGACAAAAAAACTACAGTTGGTAATAAAGTGTCAGATAGTCAGTGCAAGATAAAAACTTGCTGCAATTACCTACAGCTCTCCATTCCTTTTAAGGCAGTGTTTAAGAACAATTATTAGTGTAGTCTTCAGCTGTGTTGCAGTAGTATAATATTCTCTTAACGGTTGGTTGATGTTGGTAACGATTTGGAGACAGCTAATTTAAAGTTGAAATTTTATCAAGTTATTACTGCTTCGGCTACAAAAGTGATACAACTGAAGAATTATCAAGTGAAGACTGTGACTGTGATTGTGTTGATTCTCCACTTTCGCCTCACCTAGTTTGGAAGAAGAAAATTCATATTTTTTATATTTTGTCTTTGTAATTTATTATTGAGACATTGAGAGGCGATCAGAGTCATCTTTAGATAAAAATATACTATTGGCTGAGTCTCAATGGAAAACGCAAAAAATTCAAACTTTTATTTTTAAATATGACGGTTGTTTGTAAACTAAGGTCCCAAGCAAGCTAGACAACATCGTTATCCTTACATCATCCACTAGCTGGTTCCCACCCTTGTGGGCTGATAAGTCTTGCCATAGTATTTGAAAACGTGTAAGAAAATTGAGGCTCCTACCAAGTATAAATTACTGTCTTAGATGAGGTTAGATTTCTATGGTCTCAGTTGTCAACCGTTATTGAAGTCTTATCGCCAGTTGAAGAACGTGATTGGACGTGTTTGGATGTAGAAAATTTGCGCAATAAGTAGAGGGAATTTGGAGTTGGCCCTAAAGATCTACATGTAGTGATTTCCATGGAGTAGGTCAACTGCTGCCATTCATCAGTTTGGTTTAAAGCAGTGGCTAGAGCTATGTGAATTTGTACGCGGATTGCAGTGTGACTGAACGTGAGACATTGTTGAACTAATTAACTAATAGGAGTCTGAAACACGCAGATCAGCGAGTTTCCTCAAACTCCATCACTGTCTCTGTGGAAATTGATAAATACCTGCCTTGTTTTGCAAATGTGTACAGCCTTCTGCAAAGTAATCATCTGGCATCAGTTATCGGTTACCTCCCGCTATCTCCGCGTCCCGCCACCTCCGTGTACCGCTACCTCCGAATTTCAGAGTGACCCCTATAATCCTCGGTTACTTCCTGCGTTAAGACTTTCCGTCCAAACCTAACCTAACTTAACCTAACCTAACCTAACCTAACCTGACCCAACCTAACCCCCCACGGGTTAAATTTTCATTAAATCTTCCATCCACGGGGCTTCGCAGCCGTGGATGCAATGACAGCTAACAACGCAGGCAGTGAGGGGATTATAAGGGTCACTCAAGAATTCGGAGGTGGCGGGACAGATTTGGGTTCGGGGATGGCGGAACGCGGAGATAGTGGGAGCACACGCAGTTATCAACCTGTATTGATCCCCTTTTATGAGATAACTAATCAAAGTAAGTGACTCATATTTGGCAGGGGGAGGGGGTGAATTTTCTTTTCTCAAAATTTTCTTATTGAATACTATGACAAATTTAATTGTCCCAAAAGGGTGGTAGCCGGCTAAAATAGTAGTGGATGAAATAAGGAGAGTGACGTTGGTCTTATATTTAATTTAGATTGCTTGGCTTTTGACAGGAGCCTAATTTATGGACAACCCTCATAATTTGTGTAACCAGTGGGGTAAACACATGAAAAAGTTGTTTGCAAAACAAAACATCTATGATATAAAACATAGGTTCCACGATTAGTCAATGGTCCCACTCAACAGTAATTTAATTTAACAATGGTGGTTGCCCTGAAAATTCATGTTTAAAGAAAACACATCTTTTGTCCTAGATTGTCAAAGGAAAACGTGTTAAAAACAGTTTCCTTGACAAAGCCCATGTCATAGATTGTTGGTTTTATTAGACGATTTGCGCTGACTCAGACCGCCTCTTGTAAATTATCTAAAACTGTTAGTTAGTCTGTGAAATGTTAGGAATATTTAAATTTCAGTTAACTTTTTTTAAACTTTGTAAGTAGATTTTTATTAACAATTTGACAGTTTCCTCTAAATAACATTGAGCATGATTTCTGTTGTGTAGGGCTACAAAGAAGACCCCTAGCGAAGAAGGCCCTAAAGAGGAAAATGGCCTCGTTTAGTGGCCGAAACAAACACACCTCCCGCATTAACGTTATAATTTTTCATTAGAAATCGTATGTTTTGTAAATATCAGTGCTGGATATGCAGGGATATTTGTTTTGTTAATTTAAGTCGGATGAAAAGGTTTGAAACCAAATGTTAATTTGAATGTTGTTACCTAATCCAATAAATATACTTTTTCAAATGTAATTTAAAATTATAAAACTCCTTAATGATAACTAGGGTTTTTAAATAAATCTTAAAATTGGGGAAACGCCGTGAATGGTGTGACTATATGATAAATTCTTGTGATTAATTGATAGTAACCGTTTGAATGAAAATCCTTAACATTATGTAAAATAGGTAATTTTGTATTTTGAATTTTAACACTCTCTTTGGTGCTACACAAACATACAATGATAACATTCAAACACATTAATTCAATTGCCTTGTATTCCTGAAATGTACTGATTAAAAGGCTATTGCTTCATTAATTAACTTCATTGTTAATTATATAGTTTTAGGTATTGGTAAAATATTTATTTGTCAGTCCAGTGTAAATCCGTGCAATATAAGCTAGATCAATGTACTTCATTTCAGTGTTGGCTCAAAGTGGATGTGTATACTATACATATTGGGCAAAATATCACAAAATTGTTTTGTATCACTGACTTAATGTAAATTGTTGTTATTGTACGAAAAATACATAACGGTTTGTATCCTACTCTATGCATAATGTTCTCAAGAAACATGTGTTGTGATAATTTTGGTGCTATTAAACACAAGTGACATTTATTTATTGTTTTATATGAAATTAAGCTAGTTACTCTTGACAATCAAAATTACTGTCAATGTATATTACATGTTTTATATTGACTAGTAAAAAAGAGTGCAATATTTTGAACATTTTACCAAAACAGTTTATAAGTAATTCTTTGTTTATCTTTAAGTATATTATTTCCATTTTTTTTTTAAATTTGATTTTAGTTAAACTTTAGAAGTTCTTTAATTTTAAAGCTGTGTGAACAAGGTTTATTTTCTGATATGTTTAGTATTTCCACCCAAAATTTTCATGTAAAGTCTGTTTGCTAAGCAGCTGGCAGAGAGTCGGTCCTACTCATGACACAAACAGCCCTCACACACAGACGCAAGGGACCATTGACGTGCCATGTGAGCCATCACTGGCTCATAGAGATTTAATATTCTTTTTTTATATTTTTAACTTTGTTATAATAGTATATTTCATCACTAGGGCCTAAAGTGACTCTTTTCAACCCAAGCTCGAGGTCGGAAAATGAGCGAAGATTGAAAAGAAACTTATTGCCCGTGTGATGAATTATATGTTTCATCATATTGCACCAAACAAACTATGTTACAAAACTAAAATAGTTTTCATTTAAAGTGAACCTCTCAAAACTACTTCATACTTGTTTTCTTTCAATTTAATTGGCTAATGGAATCAATCAGCTGTTTAGTAAGTGATTCATTTGTTTAGTCTATTACGATTGTGTTAGTGTACATTATACCATCAATATGTCAAAGTATTTACAATAAGCCAACAATTAACTACATTCGATTAAACAATCAATACATCATTCCGATACATACAATTTTTTTCATCAAAATTTACTAATGATTTGACTACAGCTGATTTTTACTCTCTAGGGGCTAAAACGCTTCTTACTTAGAGAGTAAAAATCCTACTTTAGACCCGCAACGCATGCGTTAAAAACGGCTCTTTTGCTGCAGTATGACAAAAAACAAATCGATACTTTTGACTAAAGCTCAAAATGATAAGTAAACTGATACCAAACAATATTTTGCTTAAATAATCTAGAGGTTATTAACATTTTCATCCCGATTCTAAAAACTACTTGTCATAGTCACTTCTTCGTGTTTGGGCTCACTTTTTATGGAATCAAACTAAAAATGCAGTAACTCACGGCATTTCATTGTTTACCTAACATGAAACTAATTGTGATTTTGAGGTATCATACAAAAGGTGTATTTTAGGTTATATTTCTAGGTAGTGAAGGCAATCGGGCCTTTCAGGTAATTAGGTAGGTAATCAACTCCCTTGCTGGTAGGGCCGAGCTCGCTGTACTCACTGAGCAAACAGACTATAATTTCTGAGCCCATTTTTGTTAAGGAGCTCAATTAATTTATGTTTATTAATTTATGTTTATCCTGATGTTAAGAAACTAATAAAATGAAACTATTCATTATTGATACTGATTATATAATAGATCACATGGTGGGGATATTGTCCCTTATGAGTTTATCTCTTCTTTTTATTGATTGGGTTTTTGTTTGTTAATTGTTTTGTTAACTCTTAGAGATAACCGGCTGTACTTAATTTACATGTTTTGCGCAATAGAAGTTTAATTTCTTTTTCAAGAGCTAAATCTTTTTCAAACAATGTTTAGGCTAATGTTTGGTCTTCTTTAGTGGTCCTAAATGATTTTTAGTCATAATATTATGTTCCTTACAAAATTTACCTAACTAAAAAATATGATCTCTTTTATTGAGTATTAGCTGCCTAATTTTAATTATTTTAGAAATCTTTGACTATAATTAATTAAATAATTGCTCAGATATGTTATAGTCTTGAATGTAATACAGTTGTGGTTATGGTAAGACAACTTATTTAATAATTTTATGTAATCATCAGAGTAGTTTAAGGTTTTTCTTTGTTTGAATTTATAATTAATGTTGAATTTTGGTTTTATATGGAATCAGTTCTGAACTGTAATGTTTTAAGAATAAATTTTTGTTTTGGGAATAATTGTTTTGTCAATTTGTGTCCTGTTTTGATCGTTATTTGAACTGTGTTATTTTATACAATAATAATCCATTTTTGTGTGATTATGTCATTGTTTTGTTTTTGGTGATTGTTGTAACGGTTATTTATACCTTATACAATTGAAAATATTTAGTTTTTTTTTTAGAGGAATTTAGCTTTTTATAAATAAGCTCACATCAACTAAATGCATGTTGGTTTTAGAGTCATATGTCAATTATTAGCATATAACATTTTTCATTATGACAATAATTATTTCATAGTTAAATTATATTTTAATCCAAGTGTATAGCAATATATCTTGAGATGAATACAATAAACTAATTAAGTAAATTCCAACCGAAAAGGTAATAGTTAGTTAACTGATGAAATACATTAGAAATAAAAAATAAAAACTGAAAACAACTAGAGTAAACCCTCAGAGATAAAATTTTCTTTTTACTTTCTCCCCTATACATAGTATGGAGAAAGTATTGTTTTCATCAACATTTTTCGATTTTGAGTTTTGGGTGGATGTATCTGTTTTAGGTCCCATAAACCCAAAAAAGTGGTTTTTAAGTCAAGTCTGTGTGTGTGTCTGTCTGTATATTTGGATGTCTACAGAGCTACAGACCACATCAATAGCGATTAATTGTTATTATTATTGACCCGAATTAGCTAAAAATACATTATATGAATCAGTTATTCCAATGCATCAGGTCCAAATCAATGCATCGTGAGACTAAATCTTTGCATCGTGAGTTGAGACTAAATCTTTGCATCGTGAGTTGAGACTAAATCTTTGCATCGCTATTTCGATGCATGCTGAATTGAAATCTCGATGTTTCGCACACCTTTAATTCTATTATTCTTAACTCCAACGTCATCCCTCAAGAGATTGTTATGTTCAAGAAGTGTTGGACTGGTCTACTATGAAGTGTTTTTCAAAAAATTTTGTTATGTTTCAAGTTTCTTTCAAGTAAAGATAATGGTCAAACATTTGAACATCTTGATTTCAACCTTTCTTATTGCTAAATTGAAAAAAAAAATAAGTCAAGATAGGAATAACTTGTATAGATATATAATAAATGAATAAATCAATAATAATTCCATCCTATCCACAAGGTTTTGTATTATTTAAGCCTGAAATAATCTTTGATACCTCTTCTACGTAGAAAGGAATATTCAGTCACATCTAGGAACGTCCATAACAAAAGATAAATTAGTTTTCGGAACATTCACATATTTTAGAATATTGATCATTAAATCACAATTTCTAAGTTTATATTTTCTCTAATTTAGTGGAATTCATTCCTAGTTCTTTATTGAAAACAAACTATGTAGGTTAGTACTCATTCCTAAACTCTGTCCTTTTATTTTCTATTATATACCTTTCATTTTTTTATGCAAATTTTGCTCCTATTACTACCTCATTAAGCGTCTTTTCATAGAATTTTACATACCTTTTGAGTTTAATTTTGTTGAATTTTCCAACCTTTATACAGAGATCCAATTTTTCTGTTATACATGGTTAAAATACACACGTTTGACGGGAAAGAATTCTTTCATAAAAGATAAAAATATATTAAAGAAGAAGAAACGGATTTCACTAAGCAAGAGGGCATGAAATCTTACCTGAAAAAATAAATGATATTTCTACTCACAGAATATAATTTTTCTCCGTAGTTTAACCATTTTAAAGTTACACCTCATGTCTCACTCAGCCATCACTCCATTCTTATTCCTCCTTTGCCGTAATCATAAATCTGGAATCTGGTGATAAATTTCAAATGGGGGGTGATTTTTGCCAACAATAATCTGATCACAAAGCACACTTCATCAGTGGCAGGATTTGTAATGACAGCACTCATTTTACATCCCATAAGAGACTAATTATAAGATGTCATGGGTGCGTACGGAAGTTAGTGGCAATAAGCCTGTCCCATGTGGCACCGATGCGAATTGTCTTACTTTGTGGACAGCTTTCTTAGTCACATTATGCATCCAAAACAACAAAAAAGTTTATAAAAGTATCCATCACCATCTATGAACGTTAATATACATCAAATTCTTGGAATATATATTAACGGTTCTTCAGTGAGTTGATGATTACTTTATTTTCAGATTCCTGGCTACCTGGATGACAAGTTCAAGAGAGTAAAGAATACCGACAATGTTGAGACGTCTTGATGATCTCTCTAGCCGCGTTCTCTCGTCTCCTTGTTTTTATTAGCTCGTATTGTGAGTGTACGCTTTACCGGTGATATTCTGGTACTATTTGTGATCGGTCCAAGGACACTAAATTAGTTCTCGGTTGTCAAAACAACCCAAAACATATTTTAATCTTGTGATCATATACCAGTTTAAGTTGTTGAACATTTGATCAAGTAAATATATTTAGGTTTTATAAAACAAATTTGTTATAGTTTTTTTATTGTTTTATATATTAGTTTTGTTGATTTTTTTAAATTTTTAAACTCTTACATGGTATTATAACTTTTGGAACATAGGAAACAACTGGTATGAACTGGTATTTAAAGACATTTCATATTAGTATGGTTAGTAATTGTCTATGTTTTATACAGTTTTGATGTGATGTTTGTGTTTTATTTTAAATATGTAATAGGTTGAAGCGGACTAAGTCTGGATCTAGTTTATCCTAGATTGTAGTTCTTGCTGTGAGAAGTTAGTTATTAATGTTATATCTTATTTTAAAATTGAATTAGAGTTTTTGTCAATTCTGGCTGTTGTTTGAAAGAGTTCCACACAAATTTTACCACCTTTTTTCATTCACAGATAGTTTTAAATGTACGTAACTATCCGGCGAAACTATCTGAATTAAGTCAGCAAAGTTATGTCTTAGCCTAAAGATTATCTTAATTTGAAAACTTCAGTTTCCAAGAATTTTGCTCTAGATTGTGTGTGGCAGACCACAACCTAGTTTTCTGTCCTCTCAGGAGTTCCGGGGAATGAAAATAAAACTTGAGTTAAAAACTGTTTTAAGTTAGTTGGTATGATCGTTAATGTATAGTCATTATTTTTATGCTTGTGAAAATTTCTCAACAAAAACCGTCCTTTGTCAGAGACAAAATATAAGAGACAGCCAAAAGTATGCTAAGGCGTGATAACTCTTTCTCTTTACACATGACTGTAGTGTTTACGATTAACTGCTTAATTCAGCATATTTTCTGATGCAGGATAATTATAAACCTCGGATCATACTAAGACCTTTTATCAAACATTTCCTATCCACTTGTTTAAGTCATTTTCAGATGTGGAGGAAGTAATAGTTCATCCTCTATTGATAACAAAACCTTCAAATATTACCTTAAGTCTTATAAATACATCACGCAAATACATTACGCAAGACAAAATACATCTCTTTTTTTAACATCTAGTTTTCTTTTTTCTTTTTTTATAACTTAAATACGTTTTTTTTCCATCTCCATCTGCCTTCGAAGTTTAAACAGACTTTTACGATTAACTGTAACTTAAGATTATATTCACACACACCATATAAGATTAGTTTTTATTACAATAATCGGTATCGGTATTGGTAAGAAACCTTGTTCCATTGTCTTATTTTAGTTTTTATTTTTTTAGCTATAGTTGACTGACGTTTTCCAGCAATGTAACCACATTTTATGGAAATAAAAATTCTTGATTCTTGATTCTTGATATACTCAATGTCAATGTAAAACATTTCATTTAGATATGAAACCTGTAGGTACCTATTGTAAGTATCATAAGTTCACTACCAACCCTGTTCTTTCAACCAAGCCTTTGTTTTGACACAAATCGTGCATAAAATGTGATAAGATTTACAAATATTTTATTACCACTCTTTATTCTTATTAACTCCATGTATGTACCCTTGTTCATCAAGTGTATCTTAATATAATATATATTTTGATAATGTATGTATTATGAACTTGATTAATTTATAATCAATGTAATAAAATATTAATGTTGTGTATATAAACAAATAAGTGTAATGTACTTTGGGTTAAGTAAAGTTAGTATTTACGTAATATCCAGTGTTTATTTTATACCTTATCTTAAATCTTTTTCGTGATTTATGTTACGCAAAGGGGTTTATGTGGATTACCTTTGGCATCAATTTAGCTAAACTTGACTGATCTAAAATATTACAAATCTAGAATTGAAAATGTTAGCAGGAAAATATAATAGAATAAATAACCAAGGTTTATGGTTGTAAAAGCAACGATCATAAAAGACCGATAGAGGAAGCAGACCTATCCAACTAATAGTGTAACAACCGAAGCATGGTCGGCCATCTTGGGGTAGGCTAGACGCGTTATTCTTGTTGATGGTGACCGAAAAACTCAAACGGTCCACTTTCAAACAATTCAGCATCTAGCTTACTTAGGTAAATGGTTGGAAACGTAAGAGTGAGGCAATACGACTTAGCACTATTATTCCAATTTAAAGCTTAAAAAGTAATTTTTTTTATTTTAAATGTTAAAATAAAGACTGTGCTTGTATAAGTTTTGAAATGTGACAAGAAAGATTTTGCCGCCTATTACTTTTTTTTATTTTTTGTCAGGCAAGTTAAAACAGTGGATATTTTTAAATGAAGAGTGAAATGTTCTGAATCTTTATTTTTTATTTTTAGCAGCTGTAGTTTGGGTTAAACGAGAGGGAGTTTCCGCCGTTCCGCGTCGTGCAGGTAGAATAGGCTAGATCCAAGTTTTGACACTGGTGTTTGGAGCTATACAGAAAAGTACTAAACTACTCAGAAAAACACAGATTAAATTTAGAATAATTTATAGTTTTATTCCTCATATTCCTATGAATATAAATATTTTTTAGCTTGTTTATAAAAATTAATATGACAGTCAAAATGTAGAAGAGCGTTGTTTTACTGTCAAAATCCATCTCATGAGTTTAAAAATGCACACAATATAAACCAAACATCAGAACTTCGTCAAACTTAAATACTATATAAATAGATTAGTTACATTATGAATTAATTTGTAGGTTTCAGAATTTTTGCTATCCTAAAAAGCTTTTTTTGTTAATTATGAAAATTAACCTTTTTCAAGAAAAATCGCCAAGGGTAGAAAAAATTTAAAAAGCTTGTTTTGAAGGTAACTGTGTTATTTATTAGAATATTTATTTATATGGACAAGGCATTTTGTTACTCATATTATTGATTTAGTTATCATTTTTTTTTACTAGCACTCATCGCGGCCAGCAGCCGCCATCTTGCTGTAGAAATTGTGAAATACGTCTTGTGCTCCATCTTTTGGCGGTATGTGATCGTTGAAGTAATGGAAGCATCAGAGAAGGTTATTGGGTTTTCAATCTTGTACATAGGATAATAAGATCTTTACCAACAATCATGCCAGTAATTAAGGTTTTTTTCCGCGTTTAGAATTCTCCTTTCTTTCCCTATACAATACCAAACGACTCATTCCCACGCAGGGGTTCTCCCATGTTTTCTATTTTAGCAATTGTAGTCTAAATTGCAAGAAATGTAAAATGGTATACAAATTGCAACATTTGTAAAATGGTAGTAAACTGTTTATTTGAAACAAAATAAGACATTTTATTTTGATTTGAAACTCTTAGTGTGGTTTTTGCAAAAACAAATAAATTTCAGAAAAATTTTTTAAAAAAGAGGTTTTATTTATTTACAAAAATATGTCACAATAATGTTATGAATAGCTGTACACTTATTTACAGAATTATAGCTATAAAATTAATATCAACCAAACGATCTTAACTCAAATTATCATTGCTTTAATCTTTAATCAATGTGAGCTAATGCATATAAAATTCACACAAGGAAAATATTAAAACTAGTACAGTATAAAGGTATACAAATTACATTGGTGTAAAGCAGAGTTTTGAATTAAAAATGGAACACTTAAATGGAATGTATTCTACCAATGAACAAGGATAATATAGTTATAAACAAACATGTATAAATCACACACAGAGAGGCCTATCTTACAACACTACATGACTAGAACTTTGTATCACAAAGAAACCAAAAATATGTTTATCAGTTCATCATCCAACCACAAGAATAGCAAACAGAAGAAGAATAGTTTAAACATGGCAAAATCAATCAAAATAGCTGTCAGGTATTACACAAAAGTAAAATCTAACAATTATTTAGGCCTCTGTGGACCTTAAAAAAAGGAAAGTAATCTCATGTATGATATTATCGTTTGTGGTTTAGCACACAAGAGCTAAAGTTTTCTTATCTTAATCCAATATAAAATGACAGTTTTTATTTAAATTTATATAAAATAATTACCTATTTCCTGCGTTCAGGTATTTATAGTTATACCAAGCGTAGTGCACTAAAGACATGCTATACTTTTTTTCCTGTCATTACAGTTATACATGTATACCAATTATCAATTATAACAATTATTTAAGACTAGCTGTACCCGCGGGCTTTGCCCCGTTTAACTTCAAAAGTATCCGCATGGCTCATTCACGTCCTGGTTGAAGTTCAATTATTTAAGATGGGGACACCACTAGGTGTGTATTTTAACCCAAATATGAGTGAAGGATGAGTGGCGCGATCTTGTAGCCTTGTTAGTGACTAAGCCCGACATGTTCCTTAGACACAGCTCTTAATTAATAGCCCATACAGCCAATGGCAACTAAGGGACCTACAGTTTATAGTGGAATCCAAACCACATTTTTGCCTTGTAATTAACAAATTGGTCTAATTATCAGGATAGCACTGCAGGTATTTGTAGTACTCATTAGTGCGGTCGTTAATCAACTCATTGGTTGTAATCAGTAACTCATACTGAAATGAGTTGGAGTTGTGTTGGTTCAGTAAACGATGGCAACTCTGCGATATCATGGACCTCCTCAGGTTAAACATCTTGGTCGCCGCTAATTAACGTACATTTAACTCGCATAATATATTCAAATAATAATAAATAATTAAAAAATATATTTTTTTTTACTTTGATTTTTAACGATTGTGGTCAATCCGAAGTGTGGTTAATCCACAAGTGAATAGATTGGAGTCTACTGTATAACGTCAAAACTAGAGTACAAACATTCATGGGCGAACAAATAACAGTGATTTTCCTTTCCATTCATTTCACATTGATTTTAAGTTACCAAATATCCTGTAACAACTTTGGACAATACATTATCCCCAGAGACAGTGTTGGCACTACTGACGAACAGAGGAAGGGAGGTCAGCAAAGTAAGAGTGAGCCATGGCGTCGTCTGCTGCCATCCGCTGAGACGGGTTGCAAACCAACAATCTCTGCAGTAGATCACGACCTTTACTGTTCAACTTTGGCACTACCTGAAACACATTTGGCACTACATTTGAAATTTGTTACTGTAATAAATTAAAACCTAGAGCCCTTTTTTAATGTAGTTCAACAAATACTCAGAGAATGATTTTTAATTTACTAAACTAAACACTGTTTAGTTACTGAACTTTTAACATGGACCTGCTGAAGGAATCGTTGAGTGCGGGAGCTCTCTTTTCGAAGAGGGCTTAAATTGTGCATATTGCAATTTTTTTTATGAAAATATTGTAACTCAGTAGTTTATTGATTAAGCTGTAAGTTCGCCTTTTCAGAAAAAAAAACACTTTAAATAAGGAGAGGTTTCTCCGATACAGCTCTCTATGTACAAAAAGCCAAACAAAAATTATTAATTTTGCCTATACAACTAAAATATAACCTAGGAAGCTAGGAGCCTAATGGCCAAACAAATATGATTCGAAGCATTCATAATCACAATCCTTGAATGATTAATGTGTATCATTAATGTATACACATGAATGAACTTACTATAATAATCAGAGCTTCCACACCAATTTCTTACTTGATTCCTCTGACCTATTGCTGTAAATCTTCCAGAAATAGGTTTCATTGTAAAAGTATTATAAATATCCTAAGTACTGTATTTTGGGTGATAAAACAATGTTAAACTTTACTACTAACTACTATTGACCATTGGATACTAGCTTTGACTAACTAGTCAAAGCTACTACCTCTTTACAGTTATGTATCTTTTTTCCATAAATAACAAAAAAACCAAGATAACTAAACAAACAGAAAAGGATGGATGTAACATGGAGCACAAGAGTATACTTTCGAGGAACAAAAAAAACATGGCAAAAAAAATTTTTTTGGCCAGAAAAATTATTAGCCTAATAATTAAAAGCCCCTAGTACAGGTTTTTAAAAAGTTCTGCACCAACATTGCAGTTTATTTGTAAAGAAACCAACCGTTCTAAAAGTTTTATGGCTTGAATATCTATATTGTAAACGTCATTCTATAATTTCAAAATGTTAATTGTTAAAGTATTTGTGCTGCTTTTAATTTATATAACGCATGCAAAAATTGTTGTTAAGATGAAACAAAATTTGTTCAAAATATCAACGAATTTGTCGTAACACAAGAAATGACAATGATAATGTGTTAGATCTATGACCGAATCAAAGTGCTTTTTAATTAATATTTTTTTACAAAAAATTCTCCCCTGACTGGCACTGGGGATATTTTCCTGTGTGTGTGTCAGGACGTGGCCAATGTCTACTTGGCTACCCGACAAACACTGCTACAGTACCCACTCAAGGCAAACAGCAAGAGTTCCTTACAACCACATTAGTCTCACCTGGACCATACTCATGGTGGGATGGTATAGAGGAAAAGGCTTGTAGTCGGGCAGTTGAGTAACACTAGGCCACGTCTCATCATTGGGAGTTCCCAATAACTTGAAGATCCTCTTCAGTTGATCGTCCACGTCTGAGCCCGGGAACAGCGGACGGCCAGCATTAGCAAGTTCTGCAAACAGCAGTACATTAAAAGACCCTCCTTCACTGTCACTACATTTTTGGGTCCAAATGTTTCTTCAACAACTTGGCTAGACCCCCTGGTTAGTATTTCAAAACACATAGCTTCATTTTTAAATTCTATTAACCTCAACAGGTAGTTTGGATTAGCTGGAAGTCCGTCATTCAGGTGATAGATTTTTACAAATTAGATAATACCGTATCAATTAATTACCCAAAATGTGAAATATTCTTACCTGCAAATATGCAGCCGGCCGACCACATGTCGATGGAGGTAGTGTAGAGTTTAGCACCAAACAGAACGTCTGGAGGGCGATACCACAGGGTTACAACCTCAGCTGAATAACACTTGACTGGTATACCAAACGCCCTGGCTAGGCCAAAGTCAGCTAGTTTCAGCTCGCCATTCTGTAATGTTGCATCAATCAGGTAAATACTGTACCCTGTTGATGTATAAACATACATGTAGAACTAAACATTGTAATAATGAATAAAGTATTTTGATCTGATCAAGCCGGTGTAGTCTTGCAAACTAAGACTTACCGGTATCTAGAAACATACCTTATTAATTAGAAGATTCTGAGGTTTGAGATCTCTGTGGAGAACGTTATGACAGTGGCAAAACGCAAGTCCTCTCAAGAGCTGATACCTGAAAATTTGTTAATCAATATAAGGCATCAGTAGCAAGAGTAACATTGTATGAGCGACCTGCAACAAGACTAAGATGAATCTGTCTTTCACTAAACAATTCATTTTGACAGTTAAAATTCAATTTTCCAAACAAGAAAGTGATAAAATCCTTTTTAAACAATAAAACCAATTTCAAAAGTTGGTAAATTTTTATCTACACCCAGTAAAAAGCTATATTCATAAGGGAAACTCACATGAAAGATTTGACAACGTCCAGATCAATCTCTCCATTGAGGCTGTCAAAGTATTTTTTGAGATCCTGGTCACAATGTTCAAACACCAAAGTCAACTTCTTGTCACTATGGAGCACATCGTACAGTCTGACAATATTCTTGTGTTTTAACTCTTTGAGAAGACAAATCTCTCTTAGGGCTGATGACGGGACACCCTACAAACAGACAATTCAATTACTATAACTGTTGAGTAGGCCTATATACTTTCCTATAACATGAGAAAGGTTAGGTAATAGTGTGACAAGAAAGGTTTAGGTAGACAAGGGGTAAATATATAAATGCAATGGTTGTGTTTGAAATTTTAAAATTCCAATTTATCTTTTGTGTGTTTTATTGTAAATATTGTTTAATTCACTGTAGGTTGTTTTATAGTGTCCTGTTGTGACTTATTGTTTGCTTCTTGGACTATATTTTACACTCATCTGATTTTAAAACCTTGTTAGTCTTCCCAGAGAGGTGAGAACGGATTGTCAAATATGAAGGGTTCCTTAACATGTTTATTTGATTAAATATGAATAAGTTATAGGCTACGATATTTTTTTAAGTAGGCCTATCCTATCATATAGAGAACTGTAGGCTTACTTAAAAATAAAAAAAACTTTTTAACACTTCACCCTGGGAGACCTAAAAGGGTCCCTACAGTCATTTTAGAGGGATCCAACATTTACTGAGATCCAGCCTGGGATTGTTTTTCACAAATACTTGAAGATAGACTTAGAGGTAGTGGCATTATTCCTTAAATAAAGTCATATTGGTGATTGGCGTGGTATGAATCCAAGACCTCGGGGACTGAGGTATCACGCTCTACCACTGGATCAACTCTTTCTCAGCCTATTTTTTTTTTAGTAGAATATGGTTTATTTTACCTTGCCTAAAATGATCCTGTGTAGTCGTCAAACACGACTCTGTTTCGTGCTACAATGAGCACATCTTCAAGGTGAAGAAACACAAAATTATATTTTTTTTTATTTAGCCTACTTACAGAAGTGCCTACACCATTTTTACAGGAAAATACGAAATGTCTTTCTGACAAATAACTGGTCTACATACGTGGAACGTTTTGAACTTTACATAAAGTGTAATGGAATTTCGGACGACAAGAAAGTAAGTGCTTTTCTAACAGTAATCGGAGTTAAATCGTACAATCTTCTGAAAGACTTAATTACGCCTGAAAAGCCATCGGAGAAGTCGTTTAAGGACATTGTGAAAGTGCTACAGGATCATCTTCATCCTAAACCCTCGTTTATCACGGAGAGGTATAAATTCAGCAAGCGCGACCAACTGGAACATGAGACTATTTCAGAATACATCGTTCATTTAAAGCAATTATCAAAGCATTGCCAGTTCGAGGACAAGTTACCGGACTATCTCAGGGACCGATTAGTGAGCGGTATTCGGAATAATTCGATTAAGAAGAGACTACTGGCGGAGGACAACCTGACGTTTACCAAGGCGGAGCAGCTGGCGACATCGCTAGAGACAGCAGAGAAGGACGCAGCATCCCTGACGTACCACGGCGACAATGGCGACGAGTGCGACAACCTACTGCGTGGATAAAGGAAGCGCGTTTTACAGTGCAGTGCCATTGTTTCGGTACGTTACATGCCACTAGACAGCAATTTTTACACCGCGTTCGGTAAATTAACGTTGACAGAAGAAGAAGTTACTACAATGAGTGTCATCGGAAATTTCGGACCGTTCGACAGTTCGGAGGAGACGTGGTCTACATACGTGGAACGTTTTGAACTTTACATAAAGTGTAATGGAATTTCGGACGACAAGAAAGTAAGTGCTTTTCTAACAGTAATCGGAGTTAAATCGTACAATCTTCTGAAAGACTTAATTACGCCTGAAAAGCCATCGGAGAAGTCGTTTAAGGACATTGTGAAAGTGCTACAGGATCATCTTCATCCTAAACCCTCGTTTATCACGGAGAGGTATAAATTCAGCAACGACCTCAACGCAGCAAACAATCAAGTGCATCAAGTGCCGTTCCAAGTGTTGTGCAATCTACAGAGTGCTATTGTTGTGGAAAAAAGGGTCATTTAACGCACCAGTGCTATTTTCGCGAATACGTGTGCAATTTTTGTAGAAAAAAGGGTCATTTGGAGAAGGCATGTAAATCAAAAAAGAGGGGTAAGTCCAATCATTCTTCCTCTAAAAATAGTTCAAATGCCAAGGTTAATTACTCCAAAAATACTCAGGGTAACAGATACCAACATAAACAATATTATGTGGAAGTAGATGAATCTAAAAATAACGATAAAGTTGTAAATGATGAGGTATATGACATTTCTAATATTTTTCAAACTGACAGTGAACTGACTGTAAATGTAAATCAGGGTATGGTCAACAAAATTGAACCTATTAAAATAGATTTGCAAGTACAAGGTAAACAAATGAGATTTGAAGTAGATTCAGGTGCTTGTGTTTCTGTTGTTTCGGAACAATTTTACAATAAGCACTTAAGTGATGTAAAACTAAACCCCACGGATCTAGTTCTGAGCTCCTACACTCATGAAAAAATCAAACCTGTAGGTAAAATCAATGTTAATGTTAAGTACAAATCAGTAGAAAAATGCCTATCATTGTATGTAATAAGCAATGGTGCTAATCCTCTAATTGGTCGGGATTGGATTAAAGATCTCCAAATCGTTGTTAGTATTCCCAACAATGTAAATAGTGTAATGTCGACTTCAGATGAAGTAAAAGTAGAATCAGGTAATGAGTCTAAAGTTGTGCGAGATTTATTAAACGAATTTCCAGAGGTATTTACCACTAAGCTAGGCTGTTACAATGGAGATCCTGTTAAGTTAAAGCTCAAATCAAATGTAGTACCTAAGTATTACAAACCAAGACCTATACCTTATTCTTTAAAAGACAAAGTAGAACAGGAATTACAATGTTTAGTTGACGATGGTATCATTTCCACTGTTTCAACTAGTGATTGGGGTACACCTATTGTTCCCGTACTAAAACGTAATGGCAAAATACGCATTTGCGGTGACTTCAAAGTTACCTTAAATCCATATCTAGAAGTAGATAGACATCCTATACCTCGCATTGAAGATCTTTTTGCAATCTTACAGAAAGGAAAACAATTTTCTAAAATAGATTTATCATCAGCCTATATGCAACTTAGGTTAGACGATGAAAGTAAGAAACTTTGTACCATAAGTACACACAAGGGGTTATTTGCATATAACCGACTTTGTTACGGAATATCTTCTGCTCCTGGTATTTTTCAACGGGTAATTGAGCAAACACTACAAGGTATCCCGGGTGTAGCTTCATTTCTTGATGATATTATTGTTACCGGAGCTGACACAGCTGAACACCTGTCGCGACTAAGAGAAGTGTGTAGTAGGCTAAAGACAACAGGGTTAACTGTTAGTAAAGATAAATGTCAATTTTTCAGTGATAGCTTAGAGTACTTAGGGTACGTAATTAGCCAAGAGGGTCTTGCCACATCCAAAGATAAAGTCAAAGCCATTGTAGAGGCACCAGTTCCAAAAGATGTTACACAGCTCAAGGGTTTTCTAGGTCTAGTTAATTACTATGCAAAGTTTGTACCAAATGTTGCTACCATTCTAACACCCTTGTATCAATTATTAAGGAAAGACGTAGTTTTTAAATGGTCTTTGTCATGTCAAAAGGCGTTTGAAGCTATAAAAGAAAGATTAGTTTCAGCTAATGTGCTAGCGCACTACAACCCAGACTTGCCAATTAAATTGTCATGTGATGCGTCACCCTACGGCATCGCAGGAGTGTTAAGCATTGTTGACAAAAATGGAATAGAAAGACCAATTTCATTCACAAGTAGAGTACTAAACTCAGCAGAAAGGAACTATTCTCAAATAGACAAAGAGGCACTAAGCATTGTTTTCTGTGTAAATAAATTCAATCAGTATTTATGGGGCAGGAAGTTCTCTCTTTGTACAGACCATAAACCACTATTAGCTATATTTGGTTCGAAAAAAGGGTTACCAGCATTTGCAGCTGGCAGACTACAACGCTACGCGTTATTTTTGTCAGGTTACGATTACGACATTAATTATGTTAAGTCACAAAATCATGGTAACGCGGACGGATTGTCTAGACTTCCGCTAAATTGTAATGACAGGGAAGAAAGTAATGTAAATATTGATTATTTAGGAACATATCTCCAATGTATATCAGAGTGCGATGTACCAATAGATTTTAATGATGTACGTAAGGAAACTCAAAAAGACAGTGAGTTAAACAGAATCCTTGGATTTGTTTTGTACGGCTGGCCAATCAATTCGGACGTTAATCTAAGTGACTATGTCAAAAGGCAAGCTGAGCTAACAGTTGAACACGGAATACTAATGTGGGGCTATAGAGTAGTCATTCCAAAATCATTAAGAGGGGCTTTATTAAAAGAATTACATAATGGACATCTAGGAGTTGTAAAAATGAAGTCGTTAGCCAGGTCGTATTTATGGTGGCCTTCTATTGATAAGGATATTGAGGCCGTGACTAACAGTTGCTCAGCGTGTCTTGTACAGCGGGAATCTCCTGTTAAAAGTAAACTTCATGTATGGGAATTTCCTCCCAATGTTTGGCAAAGAATTCATGTCGATTTCCTTGGACCATTAAAAGGACAAATATATTTAATTGTACTAGACGCCCATAGTAAATGGATTGAGGTAGAACTTGTTAGTTCCACTTCAGCCAAACAGACCATTGACAAACTCAGGCCTATGTTTTGTAGATTTGGCTTACCAGAAATAATAGTTAGTGATAATGGTCCACCTTTTTGTTCTGAGGAATTTTCTAAATTTTTGAAACAGAATGGAATAAGACAAATCTTGACTCCACCTTACCATCCAGCTTCTAATGGCCAAGCTGAGAACGCGGTAAAATCCGTAAAGAAAAGATTAAAATGTGCAATCTTTGAAAATGAGGATGTAAATATAGCTTTAAGTAGATTTCTTATCTCTTATCGTAACACAGTCCATAGTACCACTTGTGAATCTCCCGCCAAACTTATGTTTAATCGACCATTAAGAACTAGGTTAGATTTAATCAGACCAAACATTCAGTCAACTGTTGCTCAAAAACAAGAGAAACAGATCATAAATGCAAGGGGTACTCATACTAGACAATTAGCTATAGGACAATGTGTACTAGCAAGAGACTATAGAGGGAAGGATAAGTGGGTTGAATGTACGGTTGTTAGACGACTAGGGCCAGTAACATACATTGTACAACTAGAGACAGGCTCAACTTGGAAGCGACACATAGATCAGCTGGTAGGCTTGCAATCAGGCAGCAACATCAACACGGAACATAGCAGATACTACGATCCCGTGACGTCAACATCAGCTGTTACTACTTCCTGTGTATCGTCAGCACCGGTGTCGTCACCAGCCAGGCCGCCCCACCAGCACACCCAGCCTCAATTGCTGAGTTCTCCCACTACTACGCGTCACTCACCAACTACACGCCAGTCCGAGCGGCATAGTCCTATTGTTGCGAAACGCCATTCTTTACAACCCGATCAGCTGACTGCTACGTCACCTGTTACAACTAATACTAGGCGATATCCACAACGGGATAGGAATCCTCCAAAGAAAATGGATTTGTAATTGTTTGTTATGGTTTATTATTTACGCTTGTTTGCAATTCTATTGTGTTTATTTTCAGCACTGATGTTTCAATATTTTTGTGTTTATTTTCAGCACTTATGTTTCAATATTTTTGTGTTTATTTTCAGCACCGATGTTTACAATCTTTAATGTTGTTTTTAACTCTGATGTTTTCAAATTGTGTTTTTATTTTCATTACTGATGTTTTCAATTTGTGTGTATACATTTTTCCATAAAAAATTTTTACAAGCTATGTTCAAAAGTAAGGGCGGAGGAAATGTGGTGTATTAATTTAATTATAAAATGAATTATATATTTTTAATTCAGATTCAAATATTACAAGTAGGTATTAAATTTGCTAGCTCGATCCATGTACCGTTAGATATCGTACGATGTGACGTCATATGGCCTGATCGAATAAACTAACCCCATTGGTTGTTTCCATCACACCACCTTCCGTTCCCACTGCTACCTCGATCACCCGACACTCTCTGTACAACAGTCATCGTCCTACCTTACCGGCTCCCGCACACCAATGCGGTTTTTCTTAACATAAAATGTGTTAATTATTTTGAGTACCCGATCCTCCTTCGCTCGCATCCAGGCTCGGATGCGACAAGTACCTACATCAGTAGTGAGAAAAAAAAACTGGAGACAACATGATTTTAAGATCAAGACATATAAAGATAACCTCGAGATAATGATTCACTATAAAATTTATAGTGAATCATTATCTCGAGGTTATCTTTATATGTCTTAGAGAGAGTCTTAAATAGAGTAAATTGTTTTGTTCTGCTAGTTATTTAATAACTAGCAGAACAAAACAATTTACTCTAAGCAACAAGAAAAAAATAACAACAGATAACAGGAATGATAACAACACAATAAACCATGCAACATTAATATTAGGCTATTATTTAGGACAAAACTTAATACAGCATTGACTTACCTCATCATCATCATCAAGCCTAACCCTCTTCAGAGCCACTATCTCTAGTGTTTCTCTGTTTTTTGCCTTGAAGACTGTTCCATAGGTCCCTGCAAAAGAATTTAACAGTTAAACGTATTGATGTTTTTGTTTTTTTTGGCTTGCCACAAGAGCAAAGTCTAGTGTAAGAGAAACATATTGGTAAAAATGAAATTTTTAATCTCAAAAGTGCTAAGGAAAGTATATAGGGCATCGATCGTATGAGGAATCTAAAAAACCATCGCTGTTTCAAAAAACAACCAAGTCATCCGATATGCCCAATTAAACTCACATGATTGAAAGTCTCGTCGACCTGATATATCGCCGCTTAGCACTATTCGGATGGACGGTGAACAACGATATATATCGTTCCATAGCACTTTTCGGGAAATAGATGCACAAGGATATATTGTCCTATAGTCACTGAAAGGGTTAAAAACCTAACAACTGTAAAACTAGAAAAAATTGAAAAATTACTTTAGTCGGTATCAATTAACACACAATGAAGCCAATAAAATCCTACATAGCCTACTGGTTAACCGAAGAAACTAATAGGCCTACGTAACAGTGCTTGGAGATCAGATGTAGGCCTATGTAACCGCATGCTATGCTAAAGCTTAGTACCAGCACAGCACATGCTCACAGCTGATTTAAAGTATTGATACGTGGTGATACGTAGATATGTACCCACAGGCACAGGGCAATCTTGTTACTTACTTGTTACTTGTTACAAGTAATCTCAATCTACTAGTAATAGCAGCTAGTAATAGCAATCTCATTGTAAAAATAACGTTGCTTTAGTAATATAGGCCTAGTCAACATAAATATTGTACCTTAAACATTGAGTAACGGAGGTGAAATTGACCATTGACTCAGCAATTTGATAGTGGCATTGAGTATAGTAGTAAATAAGTAAAACTCTTACTTACCTTCACCAATTTTCTCCAGTTTCTCGTATTTTTGCATGGTTGCTATTTCAATAATAGGATAGGTTAGAAGGGGTCTTTGGCCAAATACTAGAATTAACGTAGTTTCAAAAGTTGTTAAACCAGTGATACTAAATTTAAAAAATAAAAATTAACATAATTTAAAGTCATACAGTATTAAGTTTTGGATTAGTAACATAAATAATTAGCAAAAAATATATTATTTCACAAGGAATACTCCTCAGGTGCAGACTGCACAATAAATGACAAGACAAGACAACCGACAGACAAAAACAATAAGAACTAGGATCAGACGAATGACGTTGCTGACAGACTGACTGACACACACAATGCAGACGACCTGCAGGCCGCATGGGGAATGGGCACACGGAAGGGACTAAGGCTAAATGTGTAATGACGTCATATCTCTAGTGGTTATTGTCTTCTCTTGAGGCGACACGATTACCGTAACGAAACTATGTGATTTCAGCGGCGTTCTTGGCATAGTTGGTAGCGTTTCGGATTGCTGTTCAGGAGGTCCGGGGTTCGAAACCCGCTAGCAGCATTAACTTTTTGTCAACAAATTTTTCATATCAGCAAGTTTGGTTGGTTAGGTTAGGTTATGACAGTTTAATTTTATAATACTAAATTTTAAAATTAATTTTATAATTAATTAAAAATTATAATTAATCATTAATTAGATTTTTATCTTATATAGTTTTTATATTATCAGCAAGTCTGGTTGGTTAGGTTATGTTATGACAGTTTAATTTTAAAAATTAGAAATTTATTTTATAACTTTAAAACAATATTTTATAATTAAAAAGTTAATTTTATAACAAAAAATTAAAAATTAATTTAAATTTTTTCAACTTAGCAGTCCTAGCGGCGAACGCTGACACTACAAGATATGTTAGCCTTAGTCCCTCCCGTGTGCCCCACCGGGCCGCATGGCAGACACTTCTTTTTTACGTGCAACTCCAGAGTAATAAGATTATGGTATATAGGAATGAGCAAGATGAGTGTTTTATCCTCTGGTCAGCAATGATTATATCTAACCTTAAAATAAATGGAAATGGAAGGGTCTCAACTCTCAAATATACCACTAGGATTGCTGATTGCTTTCATAGCAATGTAAGCCAGTTGAGCTGAGTTGATTTTTAATAAGGCAATGAATGAAAAAAATGTGTATAGATATAATACAAAAAACAAATGTTCCCACACTCTGCACTGCTAGCATTTACTTCTTCCTTCGCCACTTCCTACGCCGTGTCGTGGACCTGTTTCCCTGCCTTCCTAAAGCATTTTGAGATTTCAGATACTTTATGTATATATAGTCAATGCTTTAATCTAACTGCCACAGACGGTCCCCACACTCCGGACTGTTCACCTTTACTACTTCCTTCACCATTTCCTACGTCTAGACCTGTTTCCCTCCCTTCCCATAACATTTTAGTATTGCAGATAGATACATTAATGTAACTGCCACAAACGGTTCCCACGTTTCGCATTGCCAGCCTTTACTACTTCCTTCACAACGTCCTACGTTGTGGACTTGTTTCCCTCCTTCCCATAGCATTTTAGTATTTTAGATACAAAATTAACGATTAATTTTCTAACTGCCACGCCATAAACGTTTCCCACACTCCACACATCTCACTTTTACTACTTCCTTAACCACTTCCTACGTCGTGGACCTGTATAAATTTGCATTTATGAGATGGATCCATTAATGTGATTCACCGACGAATTGTTCAAGATAAAATGTTATTTGTTATCATAATTATTTGGCTACGTAAATCAAATCTGTTATAATGTACCTAAGAAAGTATGTTTTATGGGAGTATGTTTTATCTATGGTTTTATCTATGACTGTAGGACCTATTCGATTAGTGTTTGTTTCCAAATTGCTACTTACATGTAAATCTAAGACTTTCTCTGTGGTATTTGATCAGTTTTCATCATCCATTTTTTTCCCTTTGTAATGTGTTTAGGTTGTGGCTTGATTTTAACTAACGTGCTATGATTCTTTGTTTTGTTTACTGTTACATCGTTATTTTGTAACTATCATGGAAATTAACCCATAAGACCAATGTTAAAATTTAAAACTTTGAGTTACTTCAAAATTATATAGGCATTATCAAAAACTGAAATTGGTCACGTCTAAGCCATCCAAACATTTGACAAAACAACCTTGGTAAGTTTTCCCTAAAATATGTTCCGCCGTTATTGAGATTTAGTGTTATAAAGAGTGCATTGAAGTTGATCCCAAAAGAGCTTCGCTTCGCTCCGCTAAAAAATCACATAAAAATTACCCTTTTTCTAAAAGAATGCCCTCACAGCAGCAAACTTAAACTTGCATAGGCGTTGCAAATTTTAATTTAAGCAAATCCCTTGTCTGATTGGAATTTTCCTTAAATAATCCATAAACATATAATAATATATATATTCCCTATGTAGACAAAGATTTAACGAGCACAATTATTTATGTTTGCTGCTATGTGGAAGGTGAAAAGTGTTTTGGTGAAATTTTAGGAAGGTGCAGGATGAAATAAATAAATGTGCAAAATTTGTCTATGAATAAGCAAACGACAACAGTTGTTTCCTTCCTCTATAACGATATAACATAACATGGAAATGTATAATATATTATTTGGGGAATTCTATCTGTTACCTTAAGTTGTACAACAATGCACCAATTTACAAACTGTTAATTTTTGTAGCTCTACAGTCGACACAATGGTCGTTATAAAACTGAAAAATTAAATATTTCATTGTTTTAAGGCTAAAAATTTAAAATAATTTTTAGAAGCATATATATGAATTCCCTAACACTCTTTCCCATTATTCGATCTTGCTGGTGCACGGACTCAAAATCAGATCACAGAGAAGTACGGATACAGAGGATAAAAGGTTATGGGAAAACCGTGCATATTTATAGCTGTTAGCTCTGTTATGTTGGGGTGGAATAATGTACTTGAAACGAGCAAGGAAGAGCCGGAACGGCGATGCCACATAGCATTTTTGTACAGAGCTGTTGTAGCGCACAGGGTCTTCTCTTCATACAAAGTGAACGTCAGCGCTGTAGTCATCCTCTCTATAGAAGGTGATGGTGAGGGGGCAAAGGAGAGCGGGAGGGTACGACTGATGCTAAACACCACTTAAGTAGACAACACTTAAGTGTACCGTTGAAATGTACCCTCTGTTTCTCACTTACCTGTGATCAGACTAAAATTTACTCGAGTCATCGTTTTCCCTGACACACACGCACTTATATATATATATATACACATTTTAAGGAATAGTGTTTTTGGCTTCTGGTTGGTGACATCAAAATGAAAAAGAAATAGTAGGGTATTTCCGTGCCGTGCCAACTAAAGTAATACTGCAGTTTCTTCCCTATATAGGAGAATTTGCTTAGAAATTACCCAACCTCTGAATATTTTGAATCTATTATTATACTTCAATTAAAGTCAAAATTTACGAAGTTTTATTGCCAATGTGCTTTAAAGAACCTATATTTTATAACGATTTTAACTAAACATAGTATTTTGCTCAACTCTACTTATTATTTTTTTTATGTATGCAGCTTGCTTCTACCAGCTGATGGTTTTAACCTGGCTTCTGGGTCTGGCGGATTGGCGGCTGTCCGAGACCGATTCCGATTGTCAAAATAAACCAAGAAGTAGAAGAGCAAAATAATAATATTCTTTCAGCAGCCATTAATGTGTTCTGCCGAGATCTATGATGATGCTTGCATTGCTTGCTGTGTTTGTTGTGTTGAGTGGTGAAGTGATAATTTTGTAGTTAGTTTCTCGTGTTAATATTGAGTTAAACAAACATTTTTACGCAGATATTTATTCAAGGATTTAGCTAAGAGTTGCAAACACATTTATAATGGTTGATGTAAGGTTATCGATGATAGAAAACTCACTAAAAGAAGACACTGAGAGTTCTGAAATTACATTCATAGAACAGTATGTCCAAGATGTACTCGATTTTAGTTCGCAATATGGGAGTGACATAAGTATTTCATACACTGCGTATAATATCACGGGAAAGCCAAGTAAATTTCCAGACTATGGTGATTTTCCACAGGCATTTGTCATGGTAAGTTTAAGTGAACCTAGAATTTTAGGGTGGCACTTAGGTTTAATCCTTTTATTTATGCAACTAGCTACTTAATCGATAGGCTACTTTCATGTTTGATACACAAGTAGGCCTACCTATAAATCCAGCCTAAACTGAGGTCTGGCCCAACTTCATAGCAATAGTAAAGGCAATAGTAAAGCAGTGGGGGTCTCTAACTTACAGCCGCAGGCGCATCTAGCCTGTGGAAAGATTTTGTCCGGCCTGCAAAGGCCAACTCGGGTACACTTCCATACCTGTTGGCACTAACAACCGAATGAGTAATATCTATCAATAGCCTATATCGATTAGGTAGGCCTACCGGTATCGTTTGGTTAGTTAAAGAAAGGTTTTAAAACCTAACTAACCAAACGATATATCGAATTGGTAATTATTTGATATATCAACAACGCGATATCGTGTAATCTTTAGATGTCTACTTACAGTATTTTTCACGCTGAATCCAAAAATGCAATCAGTTTTTTCGGAGAGATTCCTAAGTAGCCTAAGTTAACTTACCTAAGTGGCCGTCAGTTAAATAATTAATATCGAGCTTTAGTTTTGTTGTGTTATTCACCTATTTGTGGTTTGGCTTAATCACATTTTTGATATCGTTATTTCATTGTGTTTCACCCACTATTTAATTGTGCAAAAACAGTCTGGAAGTTGCATAAATTCATTATAACCTAACCTTTACCTTCCTAATCTAACCTCACTTCAAAACACTTAATAGCCTACAATCACGAATCCGCATAAAACCCGACCTACCTTCCTCACATGCCTAAATAAGAACTGATTATTTGGTTTCAAAACAAATTGATTTAATTCTGCATTAAGTCGAGTATAAACAGCTGTTTGCTCTCCTCCTCACTCAGTCCTCAGTGCACATACTGACCCATCCAGACCATGCCATATTACCATCAGTAGGCCTATAGCTCAATGAACCTTAGATTCGTAATTTTAACCTTCGACAAAATTTTGTTTCTATTATTTTAGAGTTCATTTCTTGATATGTGCTTTAGCTTTACTGTTTGGTTAGGCCTATTAACTTGGGGACAAGTTATTGTTTATGATTCGATCGTATTCTTTGGTTAAATGAGGTTTTAAATTACCCACTGTAATAACGGGAAATAAATTGTAATCAAAACACGACCTCTACCTACAGAACTAACAATAAAATTGTCTTCAGCCGTTCCATAAGGATGAGAAATCTACTAAGGGAGTATGTTTTATGTATGGTTAAGTTTATACATTTTAAATAATAATAATAATTCATAGCCAATATTTCCCATATAAGTTGTTATGGTTGATATAAGTTAGGCAGACGTGGAATGTTTTTTAGTAATTGTGCACACTTTTAACTTGCATTGATCTTTGAGGTTAGCTTAGTTTAGTCCATCACTATGTCAGCACTAACCACATACCTTGGAGGCAAATATTTACTGTATTTACACACTGGGATATGATGTAATTGTTATATGTCTACTTACAGTATTTTTAACGCTGAATCCAAAAATGCAATACCTTGGAGGCAAATATTTACTGTATTTACACTGGGATATGATGTAATTTTTATATGTCTACCTACTTACAGTATTTTTAACGCTGAATCCAAAAATGCAATCAGTTTTTGTCGGGGAGATTCCTAAGTAGCCATAGTGGCCGTAAAACGAAGGTTAGGATTACGAATCTAAGGATAATTGAGCGGTACTACTGAAGGTCATTACATTCAGTAGTAGGCCTACCGCTCAATTATCCAACACACTGTTGCTCTTCACACTGCAACAAAAACAACCATTTTAAATACATGGGTTGCGGGTCTAAAGTAGGTCTTTTAATCCCTAGGGAATAAAAAGACTTTAGTTCCGGGAGAGTAATACCATTACCATTGTAATATGGCGTGGTCTGGACGGGTCCGTGTCCGTACTGAGTGAGAAGAGCAAACAACTGTTTAGGCTATACTTGATCTAATGCGGAATGAAATCAAATCAATTAGTTTTGAAACCAAATAATCAGTTCTTATTTAGGCATGTGAGGAAGGTAGGTCGGGTTTTATGCGGATTCGCGACTGTATTAAGTGTTTTGAAGTGAGGTTAGATCAGGAAGGTACCTAGGTTAGGTTATAATGAACCGACTCATTAATTTATGCAACTTCCAGACTGTTCTTGCACAATTAAATAGTGCAAAAACAGTCTGGAAGCTGCATAAATTAATGAGTCGGTTCATTATAACCTAACCTTTAACTTACCTAATCTAACCTCACTTCAAAGGATTTAATATAGTCACGAATCCGCATAAAGTCCGACCTATCTTCCTCACATGCCTATTCTGACATAAAATGCGATTTAAACATTAATATATATTAAGGTTGGGTTGGGTTAGGTTAGATTAGATTATGTATTATCATTTATTAGTTGCTGATACATTAAATTATGCACTGTGGCACGTTTTCACTTTTAGACACAATGGGATTATGCACTATGGGCACGTTCATTAACAAGTCAATAGTTGAGGATTGGAATGAGGACGATGATCATGTCGGCAGTGGCCTAGCTTCTATTACTGATATTTTACGTGAATAAATTCTATTTTGTTTTATCATTTATGTTCATGTGATTAATAGTTTATGTATCGTAGTTGATTTATTGTATTTTCTAAACAGCACCAAAGTCCATTTTCTTTTAAAAATCTAGTTATTGCATTAACTCTGATTTTGCTCTCATGGCATCGTGTGTGGTTTTGTCTGTTTAGTATCGAATGTAAACAACTGACAGTTGTTTCCACTCCACAAACCTTCCACCCCTTTTAGTGTTAGTCGCCACTAGAACTTGGACTCGTCCATACCACAAATATGTTAATAAATCAACAAAATTGAAGCTTAATATTAATTATTTAACTGTACGGCCACTTAGGAATCTCTCCGACCTAAACTGATTGCATTTTTGGATTCAGCGTTAAAAATACTGTAGGTAAGTAGACATACTATCTAAATTACATCATATCCCAGTGTAAGTACGGTAAATTTTAAATAATTACCACCTTGGAACCCATGCTCTTATGTTGTTGGAGTTATCCTCTATTCTGATAAGATTTGAACATTTTCTTCCACTCATTTAATTTAGCTTGCTTCTGCTTCTGGCTGCGACCAGAAAGGGATCCCCAATCAAAGGGATTTAAAGTAAATATGGTGAACAATTTAGGCCAATAGTGGTTAAAATAATATTTTCTTACTTATTCAGAATTAAAAAACGAGTTAGCCTACTTGTGTTGAGCGTGAGTTCTGCTCTTTGTAGTTAAACAATTTGTTGTATTGTACTTAGTCATATTGTTTTGAGCTAATATGTAGTTAGACCAAAGCTTAGGTACTAAAACTTAGAACACAAGGTTTTTAACAAGTTTTCATTAAAGGCTATTAATTTAATTTTTATTAAAACAGTAGACCTACAATGTCAATTAATAGGCCTAGTTCATGTAGCCCTGCTAACACATTCACAGACAATACTTAACTAGGCTACTCAAAAGTAAAATAGAATTTCCTGTTTGAGAGAGTTTTTGTGAGAATACCTATATAATCAAATCAATTTAAAACTGTTTGAAAATTATAAATTAATGTTTTACTCAGAAAAATAAATAGGTACAGTAGGCCTACGGTAATCTAAAAAATTTAAGTATGTTATTAGGTCAAAATCTTAACAGGAAACCAGAAACATAGGCCTTGTTCTTATCTCATAACATGACATGGTTAATTAATCTCAAAATGTCTAGATATGGAATATAAGCTTATCATAGTGTGATTTGTTAATAGTTTATAAGGCTGAACTTACAATTAATCTTTGATGTCAATAACATTAAAAGTCTTTTTCTTCACACTGCAACAAAAACAACCATTTTAAATACATGGGTTGCGGGTCTAAAGTAGGTCTTTTAATCCCTAGGGAATAAAAAGACTTTTTAGTTCCGGGAGAGTAAAAGTCAGTTGTTATAGTCTAAACTCAGTTAGTAAGTTTAAGCATCGATTGTAAGCAATCACATGTATCAAAATTAATTGATTGATCATGTATTGATTGATTTAACCGTTTGTAGCTTTATAGCATTCTTATCAATAGTTCTACATAAGGATAATAGCCTATAATGTTCTGTACACCAACACAATCGTAAATGACAAAATGATTTAGGTAATCACTTACTAAACAGCTGCTTGTTTTCATTAGCAACATTGAAAACAAGTTGGAAGTGTTTGTAGAGCTTTTTAATACTTGTAAAAGGCTACTTGTAACCTGCTTTGAAATAACAACCATATGTCTTAACATGAAAAGTATTTTTTTTTTTTACTAAACTAGTTTGTTAAACGTTGCAATACCCAGACGGAAAATATAGTTTATCACGCAAGCAAAATAGCATATTTGGTACCTCGGGCCGAAAATGAAGTTTTGCTGGCTTGAGATAATTTTTAAGTTTGAGACAATGACAATAGAGTGCTGCAAAACCCTTTCGACCCGTGGTAACAACACTATTTTTCACCACACAATACAAAATTGAGAAAATATATACCGGTACAATAAATGCCCACAACCATGAAGGCGATTTCTACGAAACACTACTCCACTGTTAATAATGGACGGATTTTTACAAAAGATGTGTCAAAATTAAGTATTTTTTGTGTAGACGCTCCCTTTCTTTAATTCCTGAAATAAAAGTCCTCGGGCTTTGCCCCACAGGCCATCAAAACCCCAATGTATTTCTTATTAAGATTCAAATATTTTGTTTACTTAAACAGACAAATAATTTGTATTAATTGCATAGTAAAACAGCTGTTCATAGTAAACACATGATACACACAAGAGCGAGTTTTCAGAGTGAGTTCGTTTTCAGTTTTGATAACTGGAGTGGAGTGACCGTTTGTTTTCAGTTTCGATAACTGGAGTGGAGTAATTGATTACAAAATGATCTTTGAGTTGACTCTTTTAAGTACGTAAGTCATTGGAAACTATGACTGTTATTCGTTTTTAAATACCGCCTGTAATACTTTGCAATTACTCAAATTCGAGCAACAGGTGCACTAGTAATAATAAATAGTTTTAGGCAGTGCAATAAAACTGCTTGTGTATTTAATATACTGTACCATACATAATTGTTTTAAGTAAATAAGCGAACAGCTGATTTTCGGCCCTAAGGATGTAAAAACCTGCTCGGTCCCCAAATGACAATGACAGCTGGCAAGGACAGCAAAAACGTATCTTTCAGCCTCCAATTAACGTTTGTAAAACAGCTAAAAACATCTTAGTGTGGTAAAAAGTATCTTTTCAACCCTCGCTCATTTGCCGAAGCCTTCGTTTAGAAACTTGACCTCAGGTTCAAAAGAGTTACTTGACGCCCTAGGAATGAAGTATAGGTACCTACTGTACTGTTCTTTCCACCTGAAAGGAAAGAAGTAAAACTGCATAAAGTCACATATGCAAGAAATTTTATGTTTAGGCCTAACACATTTTAATGCTATAAACAAAACTCTTCTTTCAATAAAAGTATGGAACCAAAACAGCCTAAAGATGGCCTGACTTTATTTTAATTAGAAAATGTCACTAGTTTGTTTATTTAGAAACCAAACACTCCATGTCACATAGCTCTAGTATGACCACTTGTTCTGTTACCAACAAAAAACTATTCTACTTGTACTAAAATACTATACAATGTAGTAGGTATAGTTCTTTGGTTTCTATACAATCTTGGCAGAGGGGGAGCGAGTGTAAGCTAAATGACTATTAGTTTAAATTTTTTCAGCGTACATATGGAAACTGGTGGAATGAAGCTCCGTCAAAAAGAAAGGAATTCATGGTTCAAAACTATGGAAAAATTATAAGTCATGATTTTATCGGTAAGTAAAGTTTCCTTTTTGAACACTTATCTTCTCGGTTGACTCTAACGAGGCAAAATCGTCAACACTCATTAGTAGTTTGATTATGTTTATGACGCTTTAGTTCTCAGAACTAGTTTGCAGTCTTATGGGCTGATTTAAGATATCGGTTGAGGTATTTTCCATGTTTACAATATTTTCCCAAACTCGTCATGTTTGATATTGTTTCATCACATCCAACCTCGAAGTTGCTAGTTTTGTAGGTCTTCCCTAGCTTTTGTAGGGGTTCACTGTCTAAACATTGGATCCTAAAATATGTTCGTGATGTAATCAAGCTTGCATGATGTGTTACATGTTTGTTTCTGAATGTGAACGATTTCCTGTGTTTTAACCCTTGAGGCCTACTTGTTTGCTAAATGTTGCATAATAGTAATAGTTAATTCTTCTTTTATCGGTTGAGTGATTTTTATTGGAGTTTTAAATAATGGATAATGTTTCAAACTGCTGGTTATCGTTTTAACTTTGGGTCTATTCTTTGGATGAAATAAAGCGATTTCAATCCATCTTATTTTACAATAGTTGCGCTTTGAGTCGTTAATCCTAAATAATGTCGAGTAACAAAAAATTATATCAACCATAACTGCCAAGGATGCTTGGAACTAGTAAATAATGTTGTGTAGCCTAATCAATTTAAAAGGGTTGATAAGGAAATTCTTTTAATGCTTACATAGCCAGGGCAGTGTTAAGGGTCAGTGGAGCCCTGGGCAAACCCAAAAGCAGTGCCCCCTTTTTTCCTAGTGCGGGCAGGCGGTGGTTGTAGGGCACCTAGTGGGCGCCCCAGAACCTCCGGCGCCCCTGGGCATAAAATGCCCAGTCTGCCCGTTTATAAAAGTGGGCCTGTACATAGCTCCTAAAAGCCATTACTCAAAAGTAACTAATTTAAAAGTGAAGTCTGTTTGAAGATAAGTGCCTGCCACAAACTGCCATGGAACCAGTAGTTTTAGATACACCTTTGTAATGAAAAAAGGGGGAAAAAATTAAAAATTTGTTTGTTACTTTTCATACATGAAATGGACTCGCCAAAAAGTTTTGTAAACTTGGCTAGGCCAAGCTTTTGTAATATAATTTATAAATATATTTGAAATTGGAATTTGAAGTAGTTGATCGCAAATTTTAATATGTAGGATAGGAATTGTTCATTATTTTTGGGTACTGTGATTGTGTTTTGCCTTTCTTAAACATTCGAAAGACGGTAGCATAAATTGGTTCTTATGCTAAATACAACAGAAATAAATCAATCAGTGGAGTTTTGTTCTATGGCAACTGTTATACAAGTTTTTTTAGTATCAAGCCATTATTTTTTAAATGAGGAAATAATATCTGAAGTTAGATTACACATTTTTTTATAAGAGCTATAGGTTTCGGAGGGGTCAGATTTAATGTGTTTTGTATGTTCTAGATGTGACGTTTGACGAGCCTGTGTTTCCATCCAGAGTGAGTGTGTATGAGACATACAACCCTGGCTCTGTGGTACGTATCTGGGCAGCTGGTGGAGGGGAGGGAAGAGGTCGGATACACTGGGTGCTACTGTGGGAGGGGGAGGCGAGAGTCGTCGGACACAAACCTCATATCTTCTCTCCACCAATCACCACCATCGACTTTCCCACCAGGTCTGTTTGAATGAATGGTTATAATAACCAGGTTTTATGGATTAATAAACTCTAGATCAGAGGTCTCCAAACCTTTTCACAAAAGGGCCAGATTTAAATATCTTAGGCCAGCCAGGTCACAATTGCCAAGGGGTTCGGGTGGTATGGAATACCCCCCCAATGTAGGAGGGCGGTCCGGTGCAAGTATAATTTTTGCAATATTATACTTGCAAAGTCAACATTTTAAGCATTCTAACGAATAAAAAGTTTAATCTCTAGTAATCTGAAAAGGGAAGTTTAAGTACGATAATTCCTTTTTTTGGGTTGGTGCAATTTCGAGTTGTTATTTTCCTGTTGGTTTATAAAAAAACCTGAAAGCTTAGTAAAATAATTGAGTAAATACCTAACAGATTATTCTTAAAATAAACTATCACATTTATTAGATCGCCCTTCCTTTAATATTGGCCAAACCTTGAGCTCCTTTTCAAAACACTTCAAAGAACATTTACCAATAAACATTCCACGACTGCCTATGTCAACGGTTTTGGTTTAATTGATTCAACGATTCAACCCAAAACTATACACATTTACCACTTATGCAATAAAGTTACATGAACACAATGAAAGAATACGGAATACGTACGACCTTTAGTGTGTAATTGTTGAGTAAAGAAAATCCTAAATTTGTATTCGATGACAAGTTATTTTTCGAGTAACATAATTTGCAATAAAGCTATGAAGCTATCAGCATCAGCAGACAGAGATAATCATTTAAAAAATTCAAAGTTGTAGAAGATGAGGAGAGGGATATTGTGTCATCCACCCGGCATTGACATGTAGTCATGACTCATCTTCTGCTGTACATGAGTAACTAATTTAATTTAATAGTGTTCAGTTTTTCAATTTTTAACGTATTTACATCATGTGGTTATTTGTGTTCTTCAACGAAATTGGTGGATCCAACCAAATTACATTGAATGTTTATTATGGACTCAAACAGTCCAGAGCTATAGTAGTGTACTGCTAACAAAGTATCACTTGTCAGAGCAATGTAACTTACACCATTTTAGATTACATATTTGCTATATAGACCAAGGAGTTTCCAAACAGCTTTACTCCATTCCACGCTCACCATGCTGAGGGTCCTGAAAGCCATGCAATTCAAAGGGTAGAAAGTCAGGACCTGCAAAACGCTCTTTAACTTTGTACATAATCTTATATCGCAAATCAGACGGACAGTTCTACTTGTTAAGGCATAAGCCAAAATAATAAAATAGTGTAAATACCTGCTTAAAATTCCAACTAAAATGCTTAAAATGAAGCAACCATTTTTGGCGTTAAAAATTGGTGCTATACAGGCCATCAAGAACCTATGTCCAATACAGGCATATGTAGTCGTCGTACTGTTGTTGTATATTCTTATGCAGCAAACGGGAAGAGGGATATAACCATAGATACTGAAGTCCCATCAATAAAACCGCTCTTGTACATAAAAAAAAGTAGTTAAATGAACTACTTACAGAATGTGCTACTGTCTAAAATTCTATTTTCTGCCTTAATTTTCTTACTGTGATAGTTGATCTGACTTAATTAAAAGATTCTACTAAGATGCTTACAATAAGTCATCTTATCAGTACAACTTGATTACAAATTAGGGATGGTCAAGTCTCGAAATTTCGGGAAATTTTAAATCTCGTTACACGAGACGAGATTTCTTTTTGGCCGAGATTTTTACCGAGACGGGAATTTAAAAAAAAAAAAAAAAATTAAAAACGCCTGCAGAAAGTCAATGCAATACCCGCAATACAGGAGCGTGTTGTAGTTGCGTTTACTTTGTGAAGGCGTTCTTATTTAATTAATTCTTTAAATGTAAATATTACTTTAATTATTTTAATAATATTACTTTAATAACATTTGAGAAGTTTTGTAAAGTGTAAGCAGTGTGAGAAATGTTTTATTACTATAAAAATTCAAAACAAGTAACTATTTTATAAAAATTAATATTGCTTTTATTTTATGATTTATTTTATTTTAGGATAAGTTGAACTCTATCCTAACTGATATCACTATGTTTCCTAATCGTAGGCATTTTTAATAAGTTAGGCGTGATTAATAAAAAAATGTTATGCTGATGTTTTTTAATAAAAGATTGTAAATATTCTTGCCTATTATCATTATTCTTGTATTTAAACAGTCATCTAACAATGTTACAAAATCAGGTAAAAATTTTGAACGTTCATTTCCCGTTGTGTATGAGAAGGGAAATCCCGTCTCGATCTCGTCTCGAAATTTTATGAGAAATAAAAAATCTCGTCTCGTCTCGTCTCGAACTAAAAATCCAATCTCGTCCATCCCTATTACAAATATTGCATATCCTACAGAAATCAATAATTTACATCAGTGCCAACAGTCAGTGGCTCGATTCAACTGTGTCCACATTGATAAAAAAAAACTGGCGATAAATTTAACATTGGGATGAAATATCTAATCCTAATAATAGTCAAATGCATAAACCTAGATAAACGTGAAAAGAGTTTTATTGAAATTCTTGAAATTACAATATCTAAAGGTTATTACATTTTTTAAATATTTTAAAGGTAATTAAAGTTGGATTGCTGAGAGGTTTAATTGTCTTGTATGTTTTGCCAGGATGCTGAGATTGGAGTTTGACCATTCCAAGTTGGACTATTACACAGAGATTGACGCTCTGCTATTGGTTGGCACCAAGAAACCGATCCCCCCCACCTCCGACACAGAAGAGAAAGTCGACAAGGAGACAGGAGACATAACAAAGAAAATTATGGATCTCAATATACATTCCATTCCGCCTCAGGTATTACTTTAAAGTTTAATTAATTTGTAGACTGCTAACCCTTTTTATTTGGAATATTCAAAAAAGCCAAATGTCTGGGAATCTTTTTAAGGGTCTTATCTGAGAAAGAGTTGAGGAGCTAATTGGAAACGATAAATACAAACGCAGATTGTTGATTGTCACAGAATGTAATATTGTTATGTAATATTTTAGCCCCTACACTTCAATTTTCTTAGGTAAGCTAGCTTAACTCTCACTCTTAACATTTATTTTTATTTTGAATAATAGACAATTTAGTTGTCATTTTTATTTATGATTTCTTAAAGATGATCAATGGAGTCACAAAAATATAGGCAGTTTTTTTTTTACAAAGATACAATTTATTATAATTGTACAATTGGTCAAAAAAACTATTTCATCGAGTAAACAGGTTGTTCTACCAGCCAATCCCGAAGTTGTTGTGTCAGTTTGTTTCCTGTTTGATTCTTTAGGTTGTTTGGCAGTTTATGACTTTTCATCTAATACAGGAGGGTTTTGGGCCAAATTGCGTTAAATGGTGACTCGGAAGACTGAAGTTAGTAGGTCTTTTAGTGTTATAGGAGTGGAAATATTTAATTCTGGGGAGGTCCATGTTGCGTGAGTACATGACGACTGTTGGTGGTTTGATGTCTTCTTTTTATCTAGAGTCAATGATACTTATCTATTATCTACCAAAACTTTAGTGCCCCACATCCAGATAAAAACTATGTATCTCGTCTTAACCATATTATAAGTTACATATTATTACATAAGGTACATATTATAAGTTATTTCTCTTTTTTGGCTATTGGGAAATGCTTTCACTCTCTGTCAACCTCAATTGAATCAGCCTCTTGATTATTGTCTATAGTACTATGTTATCTGTGTTTAGGTGGATTTAGGGAACACTCTGAACCAGTTCCTGGCCGAGGACTACAGACAACTACTGCGTGAGTTGGAAGACACTGCGGCTGTACTCACGGGAGCTGTGGAGGCCATCAACAAGGCCAACAGTGGACCTTTTGGCTGTCTACCGGTTTGTAGTTACTGATTATAACCTATTTCTTTAGTCTGGCATTTTATTGTATTGTAAATTGATTGTTAAAATATTTGTATCATATTTATGTACAGGTTAAGTGCAAGAAAGATGACCATGTGGCCCTAACTTTGCCCGTGTAAATAAATAATTTTTCATTTAATTTATTAAAAGTAGGAATGGGTCCTATTTTGCTGGTTGTTGGTTTTACCTTTTTTACCCAAACCTAGGAATTAATTGGTGGTTTTAATTAACCAGTTGCTATGCAATAATTTTTCCGTGACCATGGTAATGATCGATGTCTTCCCCATTGCGGGAGATGCCCTCAATTTCCCTGAGGTTGTGGGATACGTTTTGATAACGTCTCCACGATCGAGGGAGATGCTCTCCATTTTACTGCAATCGCAGAAGACAATAATAATTATTTCTTCACAATTGAAACAGTTGCTCTCAATGCTGCTGCAATCACAGTATACTACGATGATGTCCTTGCAATTTCTGGAGATGATCACGATATGATTATTCAGTGTGGCAGATTGCGTTTAATAAATATAAAAAGGCTACTTACAGTCTTCGCAATCCTGATTAATTCAGCACTATGGCAGTTACAGAGATAACTCCATCGTGCTTGTGCTTAGTCATCATACACTAAACTGAGTCACTATTTACACATTTAAATTTGTAATATTTATAATATGTACGTGGTTTCTTCATTACCATTGCGTCAAAAGTTTTATAAATAATACATACAACACAAGACACGGACACTACAGGAAAACATTACGTGTACGGCTAAAAACTGACGACCGACTAACAAGCCTTTTTACTGCATGGGCTGGATGGAGTCATCTGATAACACGTGTACCAACAAAGCTCAAATTATACCTTGTCCTGTTTGATTTGTATTATTTAGATTTCCCCAAAAACTGGGTTGGCTGCTGAATTAGTCTGGGAATTAATGATTAAGTTCTGTTCTTTAGCTGTACTAGTGTAGATGTGGAATTGTCAATACAATTAATTTGTGACCTTTGCTGCCAAGTGTCAATATGGAGTATTTCTAAACTATTGATTTCAGAATATTCGTGGCAATACTGTTGAATGTGTTCTGGATAATTTGAGACAGGATTTGGTTTCTTTATAGCGCGTTCTTTATACCTGGTCTTAAATAAATCATCTATCAGTCTGTCCAATGTAGTAGGTTATTTAGCTTTCTGTAATAGGTGAAACAATAATATTATTTTAATATTTTGACAATTGTTTTTTGTCACTTGTTCGTGCAAACAGTTCATAAAAAAAATAACAGTATTCTTACTTCAGTAATAGTATTATTTATTTATCCTATTCCATAACTCCCACCTCTACTGCTAACGTTTTAAAGATATTAACTGATTTTACAACTAATGATTTTTTTCAGGATGAAACCACCCTGCATGTGTTTGGCTACCTAGACTTGCCTTCACTCTGTCAATGTGCCAAAGTTAATCGTCACTTTCACTCATTAGCAACTGATTCACTGCTTTACACTCAAGTCAATCTCAGGGTGAGTTTGGTCATCGATAGTTTTTCATGTCACGTACCAATGAAAAAAATAAAATAAAGAGTTCAGCTTAAAAATCCACTTGGGAAAAATAGAGCTTATGAGGATGAATTCCTATAAAAGTTTTATAAACTAAAAGTTAGTCCTAGCTCAGCACTTTCAGAGAGTGAATTTATGAAAAATGTAATGTGGCCATGTGTATCTAAAAGTTCTGGGTTCTAAGTTTTCTCAGGAAAGGTAGGTAAATTCTGCCCTTACAACAAAAAAACTTTAACAATGTAAATTTTTTCAAAAGTCAACGTACTAAAGATGAACGGATCCTGAAATTTAAGAAATTTTTTGGGAAAAAATACCCTTAATCATCAGGATTGGATTACATTTTATTTGGGATATTTCCAGGATATGATTTGTTTTGACAGATGTTCACAATGGTACTACGAAAGCTGGACATGTTCACTATGACAAAAATGTAACTTCTCAGATAGATGAGTAGGCATAGTGATCGTTAAGCCCTTAAATCGCTAGGTCATTTTGACAGTTTTGTACGGCAGCTTAGTTATTATGGCAATACATATTGTACGTTACTTGTTCAAAATGTCTTTACGGTACTTGTTAGATAAACATCTATTTTCCAAACTAGTAATGTAATGTACTATATCACTATCGTTTGTTTGCAGCCATATTGGCACTGCGTCACGGACGACACGCTGGAAGTTCTGTCTCTCAGATGTCAACATTTGACTAAACTCGACCTATCATGGTGCGGCAGCTACGATCTCATAACCTCATCTAATGTTGTACAGTAAGTGTGTCAATTTATACTGTAAGTTAAATTGTAGCCTGATTAAATTGTACTTTGCTGCATTACTGTATATTGAGAGTATATTTGTTGTACAATGTATAAGTTTATGTGATTTGTATAATTTTGTATTATCAATGTACAGACGTTATAAAAAATTTAGGAAATGAATAATTTAATCATTTAAAAAAAATCAACTAGGCCTAGATATTACTTACAAGCTTGACCAACAAATAAAACTAACTACGTTTTAGATTCATCAAGACGAGCGGAAAGCAGTTAACTCACCTCAGGTTGGACTGCTGTAGGTTTGTGGATGATTCCATCATAAAAACAATCGCCTCCACCTGCAGGAAAATCAAAGGTAGGCCACGCTTTCATTGGGTATTTTGAGAAACCAATCGTTTATTACTGAGCTGAAGGAGATGTATTACCATAGATTAAACATACACTCTTTGTAGATTGATCATCCTTATGGATCAGTTGAAGACAATTTTAAAGTTAATTTCATCCTGTGCCTCTAGGGCTGTGTTATTTTACATTTTGTTTCTTGTTATTCCAGTTATTTAAAACCTTGTTAAGCCAAATAAAAAATCTTATCATAAAAAATAGCTTGTGAGTGTTGCCGCGATCACAAATGAGGAACACGTTATTACCGAGACAGCAACATTTACTTATGGATGTTGCCGCTACCAAGAGAGACGACCACGGCATTTCCGAGGCCGCAAAACATGCTCACGAGTGTTGCTGCAATCACGAATGACGAACACGTTATTACAAAGACAACAACATTTACTTACGAGTGTAGCCGCGATTGCGGATGACGATTTACGTTATTACCGAGACAGCAACATTTACTTACTAGTGTTGCCCCTCCTGTGAGTGACGACCACGATATTGCTGAGGCCGCAAAATATTTATAACAATTACATAAAAATAATTATTTCTCAGTAGGCCTTCGTGAGCCGGATGATATCTGTTCGCGAGCCGTAGGTTGGAGACCCCTGGTCTATGGTATTACTGAGCATAAGAAGAGGTTATAAGGTAAACATTGTCAGAAGTTGCTCTAATTATGTATAGGTGATATTATGTATACTTTTAATAGTGGTTTAAATACCTTTTACTGCTGGAGTGATTCTTGTAGTCTGTCTAGGCTACAGGTTTCAAATCTCAAAGAGAGAATGTTGTGAAATTTTTTTTTTTTTATCAATTGTGATGAAAAATATCTGCAATAATCTGTTAGATATGGTCAACTCTATTTAACTGCTGTGTGTCAAATTTTTAATGCTAACTGTTAAAGTATAACACATAGTTGGTTTCTCATTAATCACGTAGTCAATAGTAATGTTTACATGTTACAGAACTGACCCTTCGCAATTGTTCACACATAACTGGTGACGGTTTCAACAGTCTTGCTTCAACATCAACATTGGAAAGGTTGGACTTGTACAGGACAAGTATAGAAATGCAGCCGCTCATCAGTATACTCAAGGCATCACCTATGCTCAAACACATCAATCTAGGTAACATCTGTAGTCATGAATGATGAATCAAAACAAATTGCTTTCTTTTGACTTTTGATCCAGAAATGGGAGATGCAGACTTTTTAGGATATGGTAAAACCCTGACTAACCTAAATAAAGGTTTCAAAGCCGTGGTCAATCAATGTCTATTCAAAGAAATCTACAACAGTAGTTATTAAGTTACAGTACTTTAATTGCTGTCATCTTAAAATCTACAACTGTATAATTAAAGATAGGGTAATTCTTAAAATAATGAACAGTTAGTTGTTTGTGAACATTATCTATATTACAGTATTAGAACCATGTCGTTATCTCCATTACACCCTGTTACCACAGTGGACAGTTACCGTTGCCTCGCTCGCTTTCCGATTGATCCCTCCCATGGTAATTACAGTACACACTAACTTCAACTAATATTTTCTCTTTTTTATGTACTGTAGCATAGCCTAAAAAGTTTTTTGTATAAATTATCTTTATAATAGTAGGCTACAGATAAGCTAATCAATGTATGTCTTGATTTTCTGTAACTGATTTTTCATTTTGAAAGATCTTTGTTAAATAAAAAGATAAAATAAATTTATTATTTCAATTGAGACTGGACCCCTTCAGTTTAGCCAAAAATGCAATAGTATTTGCATCAACAAACTAAATATATTTTCAAGGATTTAAATAAAATGTGGGTTTTATATTGCTCGCGTGGTCTCAAAATTTTGATCTTTCCCACAATCCCAACAACGATTGTCTTCCGAGATTGCAGATTGTCTATACGAGTTAGTCTACACGACTACCTTAAAAGAAATCCGAAAACACTCCTTAAATGAATGGACTCTTGGCCATAGGCTTATGGTGATTACTCCAAATTTTCAGGTCCCATTCAAAAAACAAAGTACAGTTCAGAGCCTTTTTCCTGGATTTCAAAATTTATATAGTTTTGTTTCTATTTATAAAACAATAATTATTATTTAGTACAACATGTGTTTTGGATTAGTCAGACTACTGTTTAGTTACATAATTCTTATTTACGCTTTAACAACAGATCCATGTGATGACTTTAAACATGTCAAGAGGTACAAGAAATAGTTTTAGACGAATTTCTCTTTGGCCTATCTTAGGTGCTAGTAAGAGTTGAACTAACCTAATCTGTCCTAAGGTTCTGAGACGTTTGTGACGATGTTTGATTGGCAGGTTCGTGTGTCAGAGTGTCCAGTATGGATGAGGTCGCCCAGGCTCTAGGTACGTACAACCTGCAGCTAGTCACTGTAGACTTCTGGAAGACCTACAGTCTGACTCCAGTGGGTGTCAGAGCTATCAGTCGCTGCAGCATGCTGGAGGAAGTGGACTTTGGATGGTGGTGAGTCAACTGAGTGTTAGAGATAATATATCAAAACCAAATCACAAAACCATCAAAACTTTGAAAATGTTTCGGTTCCAAAATATGATTGAAAATTTCAAAGTTCATAACTTGTAACTTAACCAAAACTGTTGATATTTTTGACGTCATTATTATTGTTTAACGATAAATACCACCTCTCAAAATATTGTGCAATATCCACAATGTACTTGTAAGAAATCTAACTAAACTTGTTTGCTATTCTATTGCACAACTTATTCAATACACAAAAATATATTAATATTAGTTAAAGACATTTCGTTCCCATGTTAAATGTATTGCTAGTTTTGAATAAAAATTAACGTAGTTGAATCACCATCGATAGATTATAATGTATTATAATTATAATGTATGTATGTGATTTGACTTATTCCCGTCAAATATGCCGACTGTTAAACCAAGCATGTATGAATTTTAAAAACAACTTTTAATTCTATGCAACATATCTGTGTGTGTTTCAGAGCTGGGAACAATGAAACATTTCTTTTACACTGTTTGGAACGTGGAGAACCGAATATGAAGACTGCTCATGAACATACTCTCAAATCCAGAGGGTTCACTACGTTTCCAATGATATTTAAGTGATCAACTTTACGACTGTATATTATCAGATGCTAACACTTACTGGGTTGCATCAAGCATAAAACGTAGCAGTGTCTTTTTACCTGCTAAAGGGTTGATCAAGCTGGTTTTTAATAGCTAACTGATGGTGACGTGTTGTTTACAGTCTGGGAGTGAGTGTACCGGGTGACTGTCTAACGGCACTAGCTGTTGGATGTCCTCGACTACAAAAGCTGTTCATGGCGGCTCTACGAGGCATCATGGACCGAGACTTGGAGCCATTCCTCACTCATTGTAGACAGCTGAGGCAAGTAGATCTGTTGGGAGTCAGAAGCATCACTGCGGATATCTGTCTCAGGTAAGATCTATAGGCTTGTAATTTTATTTTTGTGTTGCCTACCCTTGAACATATAAGTAAGAGGTTATTGTACATTGATTTTCTCTAGTGATTCATTAACATCCTCTAAGGGGAGATTACAACTGTTTTGGCGACCATCTTTGAAGAAGATTAACAAGCTTCTTTCATGTTGAGCTCGTCAAAACATAACACGCTCACAATAACTTACGACAAAAATACATAAAATATACAACACAACAAAAAACATAACCTGAAGATTAAAATTTTACAACTACTGTGGCCACAGGTAAGTTATACTCGGTTGACATGTCAGGACTGTAGTTTGGTTTGAAGGAGACCCTCAGGGCCGATTTACCGAATAGGCAAGGTAGGCACGTGCCTAGGGCGCGAGGCAATTGGCTTTTTTTGGGGCGCCAAAAAATTGGAAAAAAGAAAAAAAATTGTGGCCGTTTTTGCATGCGATCGCGGTAAACTGATAATCCCTTGCGGCCGTGAAGACACCTTAACAGTCTCCCACAATTGCGGCAAGATGTTAATTATTTACCGCGGTTGTATATACGTCGTCATCGTCCGTCTCCCGCGATCGCGTCAAAGTTCTGACTATTTCCAGCGGATGTGTGGACATAATTATCGTCTTCCTTGATCGCGGCAATATATGAACACATCCCGCGGTCGTGATGAGATTATCACCGTCTACCGCGAATGAGGCAAAATTGTAATCTTTTCCCGTGGTTGAGTGGACATTATCATCATCTTACGCGATTGCGGTAAAATTCTGATCATCCCTCGCAGCCGTGTAGAGTAGACATCATTATTGTAACTCCCGCGATCCTGTAGACATCGCAATCGTCCCCCGCTGTCGTGAAGACATCATATAATCGTCTCCCTCGGTCGTGAAGACATCGTAATCATCTCCCGCGATCGTGAAGACATCGTAATCGTCTCCGCGCTGTCGTGATTCATCGTAATCGTCTCCCGCTGTCGTGAAGACATCGTAATTGTCTCCCGCGATTACGGTAAAATGTTAATAATATCCCGCAGTTATGTGGATATCATTATCGTCTTGGCAAATTTCTGACTGTTTTCCGTGGTTGTGTGGACCATGATCATATCCCGCGGTCATTTAGTCATTATCATAGTCTCGCGCGATCGCGGTAAAATCATGATCATATCCCATGGTCGTTTAGACATTATCATCGTATCATGCGATCGCGGCTATATTCTGATTATCCTCTGTGGATCTCATTATCGTATTGCGCGATCGCGGTAAAATCATGATCATATCCCGCGGTCGTTTAGATATTATTATCATCTCATGCGATCGCGGCAAAGTTCTGATCATCCCTCGAGGCCTTGTGGAGACATATTATTGCCTCCCGTCTCCCGTGGTCACGGAAACGTCACTGTTGTAAATTGACAATTCCAGGTAGAAAATTAACACATAATTCCTGGTTTAAAAAAATTCACGCTTAGTTTCCGGATTTCCCGGTTGGTGGTCACCCTGTTATATATTGCAAAGGGGCGCTACTATTAGTTGTGCCTAGGGCGCTGACATGGTCAAAAACGGGCCTGGAGACCCTCAAATCACTTTGTTTTCATTGTTGTAGTTTGAGCAGACTGTCGAATAATTTATTAGATTCAGAACTTATTTGGTCATTCAGAATGATATTTATAAAGCCTCAAAGAAAGACCCTGGAGATATTCTACACAACCAAATCAGTTTTTCTTGACAAGGATCTGATGAAGGTGGCACAGATGCCAAAACCATTGGCATTCACCCTTTCAGTTAAAAAAAAGACTTAATTTAGGGATTATTGTGGACATTTCCACTTAGGCTTACTGATAAACCAAAATGTTCATCATGGTTCAAAATCTGGAATCAGTTCCCATCCTCAAACGAATGACCTTCAAAATCAGTAAAACAACTGTTGGTTGGGCCTAAAATACTGTAATCAGATATTCTAGGATTTTACAATGGCATCACAGGATGTCTAACTGGCAAACCTGGAAAACAGGAAATCTTATGTGAATTTTGATGACCAGAAAGTCTGTGAATGATTGAATGGTAAGGGAATATTGTATGGGACGCCGGACGAAATTCGGAATCGCCAATAGCCTAATGCAGAGTGCTCATAAACTGTTGGTATAAACTGATAGACTATTGTTTTGTAAATTTTATGAAGGTTGTTATTACATGAAATAATCAGTCAAATTTTAAACTTAAAACCATGAATACCTGGAACTGTCGTAAGATTTCATTTTCATGTCTTGCTAGACATTCTGTGTCAATAGCAGCATCAAATGTAATCACTCTCTTGTCTATAGGTTCCTATGTATGTTTCCACAACTACAACTGTTAGACCTGAGTTTCTGTGACCAAATTCAAGAGTCGGTGATTGTTCAGTGGCGACAACAGTTTCCCCATGTCAGCATCAAACGCAGTTTCCAGTCCGAGGGAGCTGCTGGTTGTTATCTCCCAAATCACTACTGACACAGGCCAAACCTTCCCGGTGAGTGATATTCAAAGTCTCCACTGTTATCTTTGACTATTGATAGTACTAGACATTTCGTTCCCATGTTAAATTTATTGCTAGTTTTGAATAAAAATTAACGTAGTTGAATCACCATCGATAGATTATAATGTAAATGACTTATTTCCGTCAAATATGCCGACTGTTAAACCAAGCATGTATGAATTTTAAAAACAACTTTTAATTCTATGCAACATATCTGTGTGTGTTTCAGAGCTGGGAACAATGAAACATTTCTTTTACACTGTTTGGAACGTGGAGAACCGAATATGAAGACTGCTCATGAACATACTCTCAAATCCAGAGGGTTCACTACGTTTCCAATGATATTTCAGTGATCAACTTTACGACTGTATTCTGTTATATATTTTTCTAATATGGTTGATTTTAGTAGATAATAGCCTATGAAAGTGTTTTTCAATGATATGTGAATATTCTAGACTGTTATACCGGTGTGGTCTCATTAAGATATTTCTATTTTATTTTAAGTATTTCTAATCGAAGATATTGTTCCTATCCTAATTTTTGTATATAGATAAAGTTTCCTATTTATTTTAGAATATATACATTCCATTTTGTCAAAACAATTTATTAGTTGCCTAGTGTTATTGTAATTGATTTTGTTTCAAATTTTACTCTTAAGGTTGAATAATACAATATTTATGCTTGTTATTTGGTTTTAATTCAATTTCACAAATTTTCATTTGTAGTTAGATTATATTTTCCTCAGATCATCATTATTGGTCACATGTCAAGAAAAGGTGGTTGAGTGACTGATTATTGTGATTAGTTTTATAACCATTTGCCAAACTGTTGTACAATAGTGATGGTTTTCATTAACCCTTTTGGTGCTAGAAAAGTTTGATGTTAGGCCCCGTCGTAGCTGGACGGCAAGAGCGGTGCGACCGACACGACCGACAACAGCGACAGATACAAACACGTGTTAAGTAAAGGGAGTGTCCTAGCTGAGCAGCAACAGCGGCGTTGCTCTTGTCGGTCGCGCTACAAGCGCTTCAAGATACAAACATGTTTGTATTTGGTAGCGCTATATCGGCGACGTGGCAGATCAGCACCAAAAAAGCTGCCCCATTCCATGATGCGTCGCCTTGTCGTGCCGCACAGTGTGGACACACATTTTGACGCCGACAGCAGAGGCCAACGGTCGCGTCGCACGTCGCTCTTGCAGTCCAGCTAGGACAGGGCCTTATTTTCCGAAAAGTGCTAGAGCTATTTACTTATTCCTTCCGAAAAGTGTTAGGCTTACTGCAGGGGCAAAATCTAGTGCGTTAAAAAGATTTTAAACATAACATTTTTCATCTCAAAAGTGCTAAGAAACGATGTATTGAGCCTCGATCGTATGAGGAATCGAAAGGAATCATCACTTTTTCGAAAGAATAACCAAGTCAACCGAATATGAGCCTTTAAACTCTCTCAATCGAAAGTCGGGTGGGCACGATATAAAGATCATAACAGCTGATCAGATGCTTTGTTTACATTTTTGATCATGTCAAAACAAACTGCTTTATTTATTTATCTTTGCAATAATGTGTTACACCCTTTTCCTACAGTCTCTTCAAAAACGTAACAATCTGAATCTATACATTAATACACAAGCATGTTTCTTTAAACCCTTTTATCCCAGCTTGTGTGCATCGCAGGGGAAAATCTACGCATACTGTTAGAAAGATATTTGCCTCTAGATGTGCAAAATACCTTTTTATCATAGGTTCAAAAATAAGCACAAAAAAATGAATATAAAATTAAAAAAAAAATTAAAATTGGGCCTTGTGGGTTTGTATGCAGGTGAGGAAATAGAAACGAAATATGAACAGAAAATCAAAACAAATGGAAGAAATTCCAATCACATGTTTTATTTACAGCGTGGGGTGAAAATAGAGAAGTCTACTTTACATATTATTGTTCAAGCTTTCAACCACTGGACAACTTCTAGTATACATTAATGCAGCGAAGTCACTGCTTCAGCGAATCCATAATAGTAGTAGCTTAAAATAAATAAACACCAATTCTAAGGTAGTAGTAATAAAACACAATACCCCTGCCGCAGCAAACCTGCAGACTAAGAGAATTTAATTACTTGGTTGGATTTTCACAAAAATATTCCCCTAAAATAGTCAGGTTAATGTTTTTTTTTATTACATTCATTTTAATGAGTACTTAGGTTTCTGCTCCAGGGAGAGTAAAAAGGTGTGTTTTTTTTAAAGAAATATTGATAACTTACCTAGTATGAAGTAAACAAATGCCAAATTAAATCCTACTATTTCCACAATCAATCAATTATTTAAGCACCACTATGTGCATATTTAACCCAAATATGAGTGTAGGATTAGTGGCGCGATCTTGTAGTCTTGTTAGTGACTTGGCTTTGTGATAAAACGAAAGCCAATAACATTTACTACAAAAGCAGTGTTTAAGAATTCTACCATAATATGGGTATTACACAATTTTTGTGGGTCCAACCCAGAAAAAATTTAAATTATGGTAATTACTTTAAAAAAATTACATTACAATAATTGAAAAATCATTGCTCAAAAACTATTTGACACACAAAAATGAAACTATGCTTAAATTGTTGTAAATGTTGTAAATGATTTCCATGACTCACGAACTTTACTCAAAATCTATAATATAAAACACACACAAATAATACTGCCTAGACATGATATTTTGCAGAAAATACTAAATAGGTAAATGCTCATGGATAGTCATGGGAAGTCATGGAAATTAATGACAAATTGTTTGTGGACACCCTGTTGTTGAATACAACAGATATCAGTAACTATCAGAGTACCCGTCCTTCGTATGGCGTTTACTGTATTTGTAACATACTTATTGCTGTTATAACCTTGCTTTGCGTTTGCAATGGGAGATGGAGTGGAAGAGGAAAATTTGCTTCTTTAAATTTACTGAATGAAATTATGAAATACGAGGGTGGTTTTTCAAGCAAGAGCCGTTTTCGCGTATAAATCTTTAGTTCATTGTATGCCGTTTTCGCGTATAAATCTTTAGTTCATTGTATCAAGGCTCCTCGCCACTTACTGACATAATTTAATTTGTGAACAGAACAACACCATTTGTAGCTTTGTACTGACGTGTATGTTTCACTGTGTTTTTTAAATTTGCTAAACCTTTAAATCTCCCGCCGCAAGCAAGATGAGGTCATTATATGTTTTTTAGCCCAAGAAACATATTCAATGCTTATATTCATTACCAGATGACTGAGGTTTATGACCCAGATACAATAATAGTGGAAAAAGTGATGAAATCGGAAGAACTATAGTGATTTTGGTGGGTTAGACTTCTCACAGAAGACCGCAGAGGAGAAAGGATTTTATTGTAATTGTTATACTCCATAAGAATGTCATCGTTATATGCTATTTACCCCTGGTAATATCATAGACGATGTCAGTAATAAAATTCAATGAAAAATAGTTTTTACTCAACAAAATAAAATTAGCATGCGTTCTTCTCAAAACAAAAGAACAAACTAGACTTTATATTTTATACAATTCAAACAATTCAACATATGACTATACATTAAAAAAGGCAAAACAGTCTTTCAGAAATAGATAAGAACCAGTCCTTCAGCAAAAATGTTAATTTGAAAGATATATATTGAGGTTTTAAAACTAATAACCATGAATGAGGCATATCACGTCTCTCATCTATGCATATTTTGTCTCTCTTTGAATGTAAAAGGTTGAATAATACATAATTTATGCTTGCTATTTGGTGTTAATTCTATTTCACTATTTTCATTTGTAATTAGATCATATTGTCATCAAATCATCATTATTATTAAATTATGTATCATTTCAAGGAAATGTGATTGTGTGACTGATTAAAATGTTCAGCAAAATTGCATAAAAATTTACACTCAGGGGCTTACAGGCATAGAAACAAATTCTGTAAGCTAAAAGCCTTCAAGACTCTAATTCGATTACGATTAGTTATACTCGCTTATCTTTAAATAAAATCCATTATTACTATCAGTATTGGTTTTTGATGGGAAACATGAATGCTTAAATTTCTTTTGCTAACAAATATAAGATGGAATTGTAGAATTTTATTCCAATATCAATCATTTACACCTATATTTGATAATTAAAATAAAAGAATAGCAGCTATAGCTTACCTTAGAAGATGTACAGGTATGCCATAGCATTGAAGACAAAGAAGACAAACAAAACATTGTGTAATATTTTTTGTCCCGTGGGGGAGTTTTTTAGTTGTAGAAAAAAAATTGGTGAGTAGAATTCTCTTTTGTATACACTTACCTGAAAAAGTTTCCAGGGTACTGAAATATTGTGTGTTTAATGTGTATTCTATGGCCTACCTGTACTTCTTGTGAGGTAAGCTAGCTGCAATCTCCTTATTCTAAAAAATACAAAGCCTGGCCAAAATGTTTTCCTTGAACTAATAAATCTACCACAATCTTTTTGCACAGAGAAAGGAAAAAAATACAAATTCAATTCTTAAAAAAATGTATTACAATCATTCATATCACATAAATCAAAAGGAAAGTTGGAAAAATAAATACTTAACCTAAGGGAGGAATACCGGTTTCGTTTCAAATTACTCTTTGTCTTTACTTTGTTCTTGTTCTTTGCGTGCGTTTTCAAAAACTTCGTCAAAGACATTTGTTGTGTCCTCGTCCACCAAGACGACAGGCGTGGCGCCGTCGTACAGACTATTCCGCACGGATCGCTTGAACGTCGTCTGTGAGACGGTTCTTGTGAAGGAGAACTGCCTGCTAAGCTTACGACCTTCAGGTGTGGTGGGAATGCTGCACAGAATACGAGGTGATTCCGGTGTGAGAATTTCAGCGGCAAAATCGGTTATCACTTTCCATGCGTAATCTGAGGACAAATGTAATTCGTTTAGATAGAGGCAAATACAGGATGTTTTTATAAAACACAACCCAAATTATAAGTATAATGAGCCATTTTTTGTGACAAAACAGGGTCATAAGTTGGCAGTCCTGGGAAAACAAGGAAACTAGTATGTTGGCCAACCTCTTCCGTTGTATTTGTTAGTCAATAGTTTAAATTTTTTTTAGGTGCCAATATCTATTTAGATGAATAAAGTAAACGGCAATTATTATGAGCAAAACTTAACTTAGGATATGATACAATCAACACAGATACAAAACTGTACGTTATAAAGTAACTGCATGGCTAATGTATGATATTGTAGTACTAATCTTTTGAGAACTGTATAGTTAAGAACTATAAATTCACCTATATCAGCTTCACACGCGTTCTGCGCAACAACACAGAACCGGATGATGTACTTCTCCTTGCACCGGGCCGGGACCATGTGCAGCTTCCCGGATTGGTTGATATTTGCAAGTAAACTTGTTGTTAGGGCGTCTCCTTCGGAACGAAGTCGGAAACACACCAGTCCTAACTGTAAAAAAATGCTGCATCAATGTAATATTCTGAAGGTGCTAAACAATACCAACAGATGAGTGTGACCTTTCGGATGGAGCATGCTAAAATAGAAAATGCACATTTTCTTTTTGTATTTTTTGTGTAAATAAAAAAATAGTTAGTTTTGTATTGATTTACTGTTCTATGTTTCACTACTACATAGTGCGTACATGTCTGTCTATAGCAGAGAAGGTAAAGATTAGGATGAAGGTTAAAGTTATACCTGGTAGGCTTTCATTTCAGTACCTTACATCAATATTGAATTTAAGCTTGGTGTATAAAATAAATATATATATATATTTAGTTCAACGATTCTTGTAATCTGGTTGTAGTAGAAAACCTTTTATCAAAACCAAAAACAGGTTTAAATTTTCCTGTGAAATCTCTTTTGATGATATCAGTTGCATAGCTTTGTAAAAATTTGTTTTGAGGAAATATCAATTTATTGTATCGTATATTTTGACTCTTCTCTGGTCTTATTAATGAATATTTATTGATCAAGTTAAAAACTAGCAGCTTCAAAATGCATATTCTTACCCTTGGGTCATTGTTAACTTCAAATCTTTTGTCCTGCCGAACATGGTTCTCAAACCTTTTGGCTAGTTTGATGTGGTTGCGAATGTACTCTTGCATTCCTGAGATCCCATACGAGCGAAGCACAAACCACAACTTTAAGGAACGGAATCTTCTACTCAATGGGATCCCCCAGTGGCGATAGTCAAACACAACGTTTTCATGTTGGTGTTTCAGGTATAGTGGGTCAACCTGAAATTAGCAAATTTGGGAAAAAGTTAATATATCCAAGGCACGAGAGGTTAAATTACCTGGTTGCCATAGGTTATTCTTTGTCAATTGGCAAATTCTTTTGACATACAGTAATATAAGGTGTCATTTTCTAGCCCCAAGAACCTTGTTGCTCCCAGGAGGTCGTCAGTAAGTTTCCAAAACCTACAATAAAAGCATTTTTATGTAAAAACATCGCATGGCCATACAACTATCACGGCCGGCTGCGTGTTCAGAGTGTAGGTCTACACTTTAAACCAGAACATGCAGCCCAACATAATGATCAGTTATATTCATAAAATCGCTCTGGATATCTCTGGTTCCCAGCAATGGGTCAGGCCTCGATCGGGCAGCGGTGTAAATGGGAGGTTGGGGTTCCCCCCGTCAGCGTGCTGATGGTCCCCTTCCTCCTGGCTATTGATGGCGGGTTCTGCCTGTCAGGGATGAGATAGGTCCCGAGTGTTGCTTGCACTAAATGCGTCGGGGCGCTCTACTATGGACCTCTAGGTTCCGACCTAGTGGAACCCAGGTGGAGTGACGCTTAAACAAGCAGCCGGAATCCCTGGTTAGGATTGAGGGGCAACCCTCTTTCCGAAGGGTCTGCTTCGGCAGCCGGCGAGCCTGATGACCTTAAGTCATCCGCCCATGATGTGCCAAAGGTTGATGCGTAAGCTTCGGCCTACATCATGGGGCCCGGGTATGTCCTGTAGGATAGGTACCGGGTAAGCAGTCAGGGGGCTTCGGCTCTCATGACAACAAATAATAATAATAATAATAATAATAAATATTCATAAAAATAAAAATGTTTGTGTTTATTTGTTTTGAAGACTTTCTGACGACCTCCTTGGAGTGGCAGCTTCACATCTTTTATTCTGTATGATGACCTGCCCTCTACCTGGGAGTGGCACGGGCCTTAAGCCATTGGCCAGTCCCCAGGAAGAAGGAGGATCAAGAGACAGGTTCTATCATAGAGATTATAGAGCTTGACTATAACACCTTAAGCATGTTGGAACTCACCATTCAGACGACCAAGGATTACTTTGGCAACCAGGTATTAAACCTCTTGTATACAGTAAAATCATAATGTAATCCGGAACACGGCAACTAAAAAATGAAAGCATGCAAGGCAAATGAAATCAAAATGTTTACAGTAAAACAAAGCTTACATTGAAGCACGAGACGAGCTTCTGCCTATCCTTCACATACAGTAAGGAACAGTCAAAGTTTACGAGGAAGAACTTGTTTGTGTTGGTGTTGAAGCTTTGCGCCAGTTCAACGCCTTTCATGAGGTATCGCAGCTCAGGACAGATCATGGCGCAGCCAGCGTACGCAGCGTCGACATGCAGCCAAACTCCGGCTGCACGGCACACCTGACCCATCTCAGTGAGATTGTCAAACGTGCAGCTACCGGTTGATCCTGTGATTGCGAGTGCGAAAAACGGAACCAAACCATTCGCTATGTCTTCTTCCATTGCCTGAAAAATCACCAGGGATTATTAATTGTGAATCAAACATATACTAGCTACCTCATTCAGCATTCAACAACAATGTAAGGATATTATCATTATATTATTTACTTATCATTGCGATAATATCTTGTTATGTAATATAAAATCTGTGAATTTTGAACCTGCTTTTTATTTTGAAATTAATAAACTACAAATTCAATGTGCCAGATTAATTGACAAAACATTCATAACATTAGTTCTAGAAATAGTTCCAATATAGATGTCCCTAGGTGCAGGTCAAGTCTCTAAATCTCTTTCCACTAACTGGTTTAGATATGTAATAGCCTTCATGAAAGCCTGAAAACCCTTCCAGCAGAAATACAAGTCGCTTGTTTGGTGGAAGCTACTATTCTGTGACGAAGTATACCATTGTAAAAAGGTTTCATTGACATGTACGGTACTACTTTCTCTGACCTAAGCTTATTGACTGTTTGAGTCTAACGTCTAACAGATGATTTGATTTGTTCATTGCAGTTACCTTCTTGAAGCTAAGCTAAACTACCTAAGAGTAGAAGCACAGATGGGCCTGTCAGTAAATGCGAGAAAACCTAAGGAAATAAGGTTAAAAAACTGGAACAGTACCCCCCCCCCCCTGCTCCCGCACCAAGAACAGGCGAGGATGATATTGAACAGGTCAATGAAGTTTGTCATCTGGGCAGTATGGTAACAGAAGGAGGAGCTGATCAGGACATGTAAATGACTTGAACAAAGCATGAGAGTTTCATTTGCCCAGCTTAGGCCAGTTTGGAGAAGCTCTGAAATGAGAAGGAAAAGCTAAACTCAGAATGTTCAATTCAAACGTTAAGATGGTCCTCATTTATGGTTGGGAGACATGAAAGGTTAACATAAGAACACGCAAACTGCAGACTTACATTAATAAGTGTTTACGAACCATTCTCAGGGTGAGGTGGCCTGCTTGATGTCATCTCTAATGAAGATTCGTGGGCCAAAACCAACCAAGAGCCTATTTCTATTTAAATACCGGTAACCAGAGAAAATAGAGATGGATTGGGCATATTCTTCGGCAACCACATGATACAGTCACGAGACAGGCCTTGGAATGGAAACCAAAAGGAAACAGAAGAAAATGAAGACCAAGAATCACGTGGAGAGAGAGATAGAGAGTCAATGCATGACATGGGCTAGGGCAAAGGAGCTGGCCAACAAAAAGCTGGAGAGTGTTTGTCGAGGCCCTTGCCCCCCCCCCCCCCCCCCTAGGAGCGCAAGGATATAAGTAAGTGAGTAAGTTACCTTCTTGAGTATGTCTCCACGCAGGACATTCTCCTCGTCGGGTTCCAGTATCCTCAGTCTGACCAGGCAGATACTAGCAGCCTTCTCCACACATGAGTGGGCCTCTCTAGAACAGTAAGCCACTAGCTTGGGCAGCAGCGCAGCCTTCAGGTGGATGTCTTCGTTAATTAGAGAAGCGGAATTGTCTTTTTGTAGCTTCCGGAGTGCTTCAAGTCGCGCCGCCAACATGCATGTGAGAACACAATCACTTGCCGAACCCTGAAACCCATTCGAATATTGTTTGCTAAGTTTTGTATAATTAGCATAATGCCTGTGCGTATACTAATTCAAAATTTAATACATGCGATTTTCAAAATCAGGAAGGATTTATTTCGTCTTGTTATGGTCTGAGTCAGGAAGTTATAAACTCAACAAGTAGTTAAAACCTTATTCAAAAACATTTCACCATCTTAAACTTCATGATTTCGGAACCATTTATAAAATATAATATACTAGCTGTAACCCGCGGGCTTTGCCCCGTTTAACTTCTTAATTTTCAAGATTATCTCGTTCGCATGGCTCAATCACGTCCTGGTTGAAATTTGTTCGCTACGCTCACTCACCTTTAGGTTGGAGCTCGTTCGCTACGCTCACTCACCTTTAGGTTGGAGCTCGTTCGCTGCGCTCACTTGCCTTCAGGTTAGCTCGTTCGCTACGCTAACTCGCCTCCAGGTTGAAGTTCGTTCGCTACGCTCACTCACCTTTTGGTTGCAAATTAGCTGTTGTCATAAATGTAAAAGAAATAATAGTGCTGCACCCTGTTGGTAATTTTTGTAACTTTAATGCTATTGAACATCACAGAACAGAACCAACTTGTTTAATTGAAACAGCTGTTAAGATTCAATAATTTCATTTCTCATAAGGTTAACATGGGAAACTCCAGAGCCACTGGGGCGGAGCCCGAAAGGATTTTTGAAATAAGAATATGCCTATATGTTAATCGGGAATGTGAGCTATCATCATGCCAAATTTCAGCCCAATCCGACCAGTATTTTTCGCGTTCACTTGTCACAAACATACATCCATACATCCATACATCCATCCATCCAAACTTTCTCATTTATAATATTAGTAGGATGAAAACCTTGCACAACATGTATATCTTACACACATTTTTTCCTTTAGATTTACATTTTTTGTTGTATCCTGAGTTCTTGTAGGGTTGTAGGTAAGATGTTTGTGTCACCCTATACATTTTGACAACTTGAGTGACATCTTCAGGGTAACAAAGGCAAATCTATTATAATTCAAGTTTATTTTAAAATTTCATGTTTAAACCTTTTTAGTTTTTGACAAGAACATTCACTTTAAATTCAAGGGCTCTGAAAGTATTCACATTTTATTAGGTTCAGGGTACATCCTCTACTTCAGTTAATATTCTCCCATCAATCATACTCATAACAACTATAGCATATTTAAAAAATAAATGGAATTCTTACCTGTATTACTCCCCCGCCTTTACTGGTTGATAAAAACGTTGAGGGAAGACCAAGAGCATGTGCTGAAACATTTTTAATTCTATATCACTTTTTATGTCCATTACATATAAATGAATATATTGAAAATAACTGTTACTAAATTTTGTAATGGTAGACTACTTATGAAGACGTGATCCTGCTGATTAAAAAAATATTGTCTTAATTAAGTCTAAGTCTTATTAAACATTTTTAGTCAACCAGGAAACATCAGCTAGTCAATCAACCAGTGTGATGGATAAGTGGTAAATGAGCTGTAGCTCAATTTTCTTTCAATATTTTGCCTTTTGCCTCCATCTTGAAAATAGAGGTAACTTTCTTTACAACTTTATTATCTTTGATGACAGTGGCTTAGCTAAAACTTCCTCATAGATTAATCATCCTGGCAGATAAACTGAAGATAATTTTTAACCATTTATATTTACAGTTTACATAAAGTGAAGTTTGCATTAAAACAAAAAAGGAACATTCAGTTAACTGCAGAATCAAATCTGCACAATCGCTCGCCTGAGGCTTGAGACTTTACAATGGAGAAGTCTACTTGCACTTTTAGGAAGTTGGTATGTATGGGTTTTGTGAACACAACTTACCCATCCAGTCCATTACGATAGTTTCTAGCTCAGTACAGGCCGGACTTGCGGCCCAGGAGAAGCCTATACAACCTATGATGTCTGATAACATATCTCCTAGTATTGATGGATAGGAGTTGCCTGACGGGAAGTAGGCATGGAACCTGGGATGTTCCCAATGCGTGATCTGTAACATCCAACCGCCATCAATTAATATTAGTGTATAGTGTTGTCTTGGTCCCATGTGTAAACCACAGGTAGAGGTTTAGTGGGATGGGGGAACCGTAATCCCACTCTGTTGTGTTGTTACCCAATCATATATTTTGATAGAGGACCAGTATTTTTCCATGACTATTGGTGAGCGTTCTACTGGAATATTTACAACTAGACAACTGTGAACAGGTGTAAGACCATCTATAACAACCATTGCAAATAATTGACAAGACTGATCACAAGAAACTCATAAAGTTTACAGTTCAATTTTATATTCATGCTGTTAGTAACTTCTACCTTTGACTATTGATGGAACTAAAAATGTCATCCTTATGCTGAAATCTTTCTGCATTTTTTAATCAAAATGGACATAATTTGATTGAACCACAGACCAATTGTGCTGGTATACCTAAATTACTAATTTCTGTCAAATATCATAATATGTGAACTTTTAATTCAAGTCAAACTGAAGGGGCCTACCTATTATTGTAGGCTACGCTAAAATATAATCTTTTATGTAACATCAACTATCAGTACCTAACAAAAAATAAGGTTGAATATAGAATTTTAGACACTTAAATGAGAACAACCGTGACTGGCTCATTCAACAATTTTCTTTTTTTTATTATTAGTGACAGCTGATCCATCCCATATAGATGGGATGTCTACTTCCAATATCCAAAAGTCAATGCTTCTAAGCTGTAGAATCAATTTTACATTTTGTGAATTTCTGTTCACTCACTCCTGGCATGATGTGTGCGTCCACGTCCCTCATAATGTCATCCCAAGATTCAGGGTTCTCTGGGGGTTCTGTAGGTAGGAGCTCCTTGAGGTACCCAGGCTTGACCTTGCTGACCACACACTTTTCTGGCAATGTCTCATTGTACTTGCACATATAGTCCACCATCTCCTTGCCTCTAACTCTGAACTCTGCCGTGTCCATCCCTTTGCCTGACTGTGGAACCAAATTACAGTTAGGTACAAGCTAAACAGATCATCTCACTCCATCCTACAGTCACCTTGTATTCATATTCAGGTTAAAATAAGCATCCAAGTCTTTATATTTATATCAACCTAAAATTTCCTGTTTATATTTACGACTTTAAAGTGTAAACTTACATTACCAGACATTTCTTTTAAAAATCATCTGTGTTTTAATGGTTCTGACATAAAAAAAAATATTAGTGGTGTGTAACACATAGAAATAGTGTCAATAGAATTAGAGATAAAAATATGGAAAAATTGAACAAGCTTAGTTATGATCTTTAACTTAGACAGAATATGCATCAAACAATGAATGTTGAAAATTTGACTTAAAAATAGAGAAAAAATAATAAATATGACTGGATTTATTTACAACAAAATACATTTTTTTTACATAAATCACAATTAATTAATACAATTGTTGATGCAAAACATTGTATTATATAAATACATATAAAGTAGGTCTACTAGAACATACAAATGTTCATGCAATGATGCAATAGCATAAATTATACATGCAATTACTGACACTGTGAGCCTAAAGTATGTTCAAGTTGTCTATGTGCTTAAAGGCTATAGAAAACAAAACATGCACATAATGCATTGAAAGGAAATGAATAAAACAGTCAGCAAAACACTAGCAAACACACCAGCCTAATGCCACTCGTGCACAATAACTCAGATTTCAAACCATCAAACAACACAAAACACTGGCCAAATTAATTTATGCATCCAAAAATCCATCTTATATTGGGAGATTTTTTTCGTAGCTACGCTGTATGTGAAAGGATTGAAACAATACAAAAGAAAAGAAGAAGTATTATTTATCACCTTCTTCGACTCTGCCTTCAACTAAGTTAATCCCTTTTTAGCGAATTTCCCTATAGGGAAGTAGCTATTACCGTAGGTGGCACGGTAAGACCTAGACCCGGGACCGATTTACTTTTTCATTTTGATGTCCCCAGAGGCCAAAAACACCATTCGTACAAATTTTTATATATGTATATATATATATATATATAGACTTATATATATATATATATATATATATATATATATATATATATATATATATACGTCCGTGAACGCGATAACTTGAGTAATTTTTGTCCGATTCTGATGAAATTTGGTTTAAAGGTGTAAAGCGGGATAAACTTGAATGAGTTCGCGAACCAGCACGATCGGACCATGGGAACGGGGATTTACGGGGGGTTTTATGGAGTAAAAATTGGTTTTTCTCACTTTTGACCCTCAAAACACAAAATTTCCCGATTTCTCTTTAGACCTTTTTAAAGAGCTTAAAAAAACAAATAATTTAGTATATAAAAGTATTTTTGTTCGATTATTAGTAACGAAGAAAATTAAAAAATTGTAAATTTAAAATTCCCATGTTATTCTTATGGAGAATAATGTCAAATCTTGTAGTTTGCTTGTTTATGGATATATTTTGATCACACTTGGCAAATTTATTTATTTTGTACTAAGCTATCAATATTTTACTCAAAAACACACTTTATTAGTTTCCTTGTAGCAGCAAACCTAGGTACTCGTTAAACCTAATGTTATTAAAATATATTTAACTGAAAATCAATTCAGACAAATGGAAATTCGCTTAGTCGGCAGGTTTGCTGCGGCGGGGGTATTTAACCTTTTGTGGGTCTGATAGGCCCCAGTCAGAGCCTCAGGTGTTGATAGAGGTAGAGGTTTGAAAAAAATCAGGTGTGGTTTGCATGCGACGCCCGAATGGTAGGTAATTGCACGTCCTTAAGTTCTTATCCCTGTCCTTTTGAGGAATTTCCCTCTTCCTTGCGCCCCCTCCCCAAAAACCCTAAAACCTCTTTCGCCCCTGGACTCGAGCCCACGATAAAGGCGGCTGAGGAGTGTAAAGCCGTTTAAGTTATAAAACTACCCTATGTTGAATGGGATCTGTAGGTAGTAAGACTAATAAGTGACCAACTAATTTCGTGACTGTGCGCGCTCTTTCATAATAAATAATTTTTTAAATTGTTGAAAGACAGCAACCACGGCTTCCCTCGAACAAACAATCCAGTAATCCAAGGTCAACTCACGGGATATGGCTATTTAAGGAAAGTAAAATATCAATTATTTAAAATTGAAATGTCTATCTTGTGTGATTAAGCACGATATTTTTCAAGGATATAAGGCCTACATTGTTCTGGCAAATCCCTTCCTATATTGTCATTGAAGTAGTACATATTGTCAAATTATTAAAACCATAATAAAATAGCTACTCCCCTATATGGAAATTCGCTAAAATATAAACCAAAACCTTGTCACCCATATTAAATTCGAGAAATGCATATGAGTCATGGAAATATGTTTAAAGTAATGGACAAATCATATCCACGAGATATTGTGTCCAATGTTGGTCGTGTGCTGTACAGGGCTCTGTATTTCATAGTGCTCCCCTCCCAGATGGCTAATTTCATAGATTTAAATTAGCACTGAAATCTGTCGAACTGTTTATTGCAGGAAGAGGGGTTCAGCCATGGCCCTTCTTATTTCAAGAGGTACCAGTTCCAATTACATTAACTGTTGTATCAATAGTAAACGTAAAAATCTCAATATGGTACTCAATAATCTATTAATCCTGCTTTAGTTTTCTTCAGTCGATCATGTCCTATTAGAGGGATAGTCCAAAGTGAAGTGTACAAAATGCTCTTGGGTGCAAACTGAATAGGATACGAAAATCTTTACCAGTACAAGGTGGATAACTACGTACAGTAGAACCTTTAAACGCATCTTTCTATCAACGACGACTTCCTAAAATGAAACGAAGTTTTCTCCTTCGTGAAATTGACCGTGGCAGAATCATATATTAACATTTTCATTATTAAAAAAGAAGGGAAGGGAATGACAAATATCCAGTAGTCAATAGCTGAAAAAAATGCAAAGTTGCGGCTGCTACGATTGCTAGGAATTAAGCTTAGTTAGCTAGGCAAAACGTTGGCCAAGTTGAGTATTGTGCTTCATTTGGCGGATTAGCCTAGAAATGAAGCCTAACGCATTGATTTAACGTAAATAAGAGGTAAAAACTAGCACTAACTGATAATGTTGGGTTCTAATAATGTTGTTCATCCAATAATATATCGCAGGTTCTCTACGGAACTGTATCCTATTAGACAATGGTCAAATACCAGTGGCTCGCATAAGGTGGCAACTTCTTGTACGTCAATCACATTCAATTTAACGCTACAGTAGGGATGTTGCAATGAAACTACATGAAACCACAAAGCACTCGGCAAGGGTGACCCTCAATCTTGAAGGTATGAAGATTACATTGTTGTGGCTTGTCATAGTGTATTATGGGATTGTATTTATGTGATATTTTAGAAAACTATATAGGCCTACTTGCATTTACCTGGTAAGATTTAGACGATGACCCACCCATACTGAAATTTTGAACTGGAACAAAATTACTTTTTATATTTGTTGAAAACTTAAATTTAGTCTTGTTACCATCATATGGTCTGTGTTGATGTTTGTTGATTCAACTGAATATAATTAAATCAGATGAAATTAATGATTTAAACTAAACACAGACGAAAATAAGTGAGTACAAAATAATTTATTGGCAAAATAATGATTGATCAATAATTAGAACAAAGATTAAATAAGTATAGGTAAATATAATCGATTGTAGAGAAAATATTCCAGCTCTTTATTAATGACAAAAACATTGGCATTCAATAAAATTGAGTTTATAGGAACCGAGCTTACGAATATATGTTATTTAAATTTAAATCAAGTTAAAAAAAAACAGCAGTGTCAGTGGTTTAAGATCAAAAGAATGCGAATGCATTTCTCTATTTTCCTTTTGTTTTGTTTCCCCTGATTTGAGTGAAATGGCGATGATATTAGGTGTGGCTGATAATATGGCCAAGTTTAGGGCCTTTTTAAAACTATAAATTACTTTTTACTGTATATAATACAAAATTTGTGTGGTTGGTAAATAAAAATATAAAAAATAGATGAGGAATGATTTTTATGATATTACAAATAAGTTTGTAAAAAAGGCATATATTAAATAAGCACTATGTTTTATTTATTACAAACATACCACAGATCTTTATTGACAGATATTAAAAAATTGAATTTTAAGACGCATTTCGTAATATAAATTCAATCAAAACGTACAGAAAGATTAGGTAAATCCAGCAAGAAAAGATTAACAAATATTTAGAGCAAAATCATGAGAAAAAAATTTTCTTGTTAAGATTTTGAATAACTGTTCAACTTATTTTTTTTACAAATTTTAAGAAAACTGCAATATTTACAGTATTTTTTTTTTCTTTGGAAATGCCACATTGCTATTTCATTAGCATTATTTGTTGCCAATGAGGCCACACGACCATATAAACGAGGAGGTCCCTAACAGTCGATTTCGACGGGTTTCACCTATAGTAGTATACTGCAAAGTGGCTGAGTAATTATTTATTAGTAAACTAAGCGATTGCTTGGTTAGTAAATTGAGTACATGATACTTTATTAGTAAATTAGTTACAGTACATGATGCTTTTATCAATAAATAAGCCAATTATGCTTTTATCTGTGCATAATAATGTTAAATATATAATCAAGACGCATAATAATGTTAAATATAATCAAGATGCATAATCATTTTAATAATACATAATCAAGCTGTGGTGCAAATTCCCTTCTTTCAATTTTGAAAAGCAGATTATTTTTTGCATTTTTTTGCGTAACTAACCTTTTTCTCTTTTCTCTTGAAGAACCTTGGCGGTAGTACTAGGGCTATCCAATGCTGAACAACGGGTAAACACGATAATGAATAGAATCCCTAAAACACGGGAACGGCAAGGAATGATACAATGAACTCATATCACGGCACAACTACTTGCTAGAGCTGATGAGGTCGTGACGGTGTTAGGACTGGAGTGAACGGTGAACGGGAGTTGAGAGTCATTAGAATCAGTCTAGGAGCTGGTCATGGAACGAGTTGTTCATCGAGTGAGTCAGGGGATGGAAAAAGTGGTACAAATTACTTTGGACGTAAAACACAATCTCATGAATATAGGTCCAAGTGAAATATTATTTTTACGAGATTTTTACTGTTTCTTTGTTGGTAGATAAAATATTGTTTCCGAAACATTACATGGCATTCAGGTATATATTTGTGAAAATTTACCTATTTGTTAAATGCAGACGTTATCATACAATTGATAAGAGTTTGTCCTTTTAAAACTTTCCTTCGCAAACGCACCCTAAAAGAAGGAAAACGTATGCGTGTAATTGGGAAGCCGATCCAAACATTTCATGTAGATTTTTTGTTCGTACCTGTTAACCCATCTATGTGATTATCAAGTGTATTTTTTGATCTACATAGACGTTGAATAATACTGTTGAAAACGTACTCTCCAGAATATACGTTCTTTCAATTCTGGGTTGCTGGCTAGGGTTGGTTTTACCTCCACCCAAATGCAAGATATTTAGCATTTAGTCGTCCAGAACATATTTCCCCAACACTTTGAGAACTTTTTCTCTGTACACGGGTTATAAAAAGGTTTCGAGTAAATAAAAATATTAATATAGGACAGTGTGCCTACTAAAACTACGTTTTTTGAAACCTTAAGTATCAATCATTACCCACATTGGATACTGAAATCTCACCACAGATTTGGTAGAGAGCAATGTTTCCACAATTTCAGGACTAGAAAGACGAAAATACGATTTTCTATACAGTTTCTCGTATTTCATCCAGATCCGCTAAGTGTATGTTTTCAGACATGTATAAAGTAAAAGTTGCTACGGTAAACGTATAACACTTTTGGAATGTAACATGTAGGGACGCCTTGAAATGTCTTGGAATTTGTGTTAATAATGTCTTGTTCGGTCTTTAGACCCAAAACAGATCACCAAATTGAGTCGTTCTTCACAGTTTCATGTTGTCAAACTTGCATGACGCAACTCGACAAAGTGTGGCTTAATTCATAAATATTCAACGAGTAATTATTACATGACAAAGTAAATATCGATTATCTCGTCAAATTGAGGGTCTCAGCAGTGTTACCAGGCTTCGCTGGAATTGGAGCAAAATGCGTTATATTTATAACAACCTATGCTGTGAATAGGTTAAACATTAGGGTAATATTTTATTGTGATATTCAACGGCAAAACCTTACCCGGCCATTTATGTTGTATAGTTTTAAAACACGTAAGGAAGGATTGCGTAGTGCAGGGTTAAAGCCAGCCATTAATAAACTCAAATAATGGAAATTCGACGCAATCAAATAGCCGTGGATCGAGACTATATCGAGTAGTTCGGATTTCGGATGCCACTTGACCTGCTGGTGAACTTTTACATGTGTGTGTGCGTCATTGTCATGTACATACCGATCTGTGGTAAATGTTTGATTTATAGCGAATAATGCTATAAATGTATCCTTACTCCGTGTTATGTGGAATCTATGTAACTTTACCCAACCCACCATGTTTAATAATAGAGATCGATGGTAAAACCTCCCTATCCCAAGCGTGATGTAAACAACTTCACTTAAAGTTTCAAAAACTCACTCGGTGAAGTAATGAAACCCATATTAAACCCATTCAAATGACATTGAGTGATCAACTGAATAAAATATACCTTTAAGGAGCCAACGACGTTCAACGCTAAAAATCAGCTGTGTGCTTGAATGTTATTGTTGTGCTTTAATTTTCCTAACCTAACTTCTGTTTGTAAAAGAACGTTACTGTTAGAAGATGAGTGAAATGGATAATGAAAAATATTGTACGTATCTCCCTGTATATTGTCGGATCAGGTAAAATCTTGTACGGTACACGTTACGCAGAAGCGTGTTTACACCACTTAGGTGAATTATGCTCGCTTTCGCTCGTTGCACAACATCACCTGCGTGATGTAAAAACGCTCTTACTACTCTTGTAAGGTAAATAGCTCTTATATCAACGACGTCTTATGGTCTTACCACTTTTCACATTGGTGCCCAATGATAGCACAATGTGCTAAAACCTTTTTTTATGGAATTCCTTATGTGAATATTTCAGAACAAGTTTCTTCATCATGTTGGTAAGACTAGCTTGCTGATACAGCCACAAATTAAATCCTCTTAAACGACGCCAAAGATTTTTGACAGTTGAAAACAAAATTGAATTAATTCAGAGCAGGCCTAAATGCGTTTTCTCATTATATAGGCCTACACTTTTCTATAAAAATCTTGAATGTGTCTAAATGATTGATTTTTTTGTAAAGCTGTTAGACGTAAAAATACTTCAGCGTACACATTTTAAATTCACATGTAAAAGTTAAATCTTTACGCAACCTGAATTACGTTTTTTCAACGGAATGAAACTAAATTTATGAGAAATATTTCAATCAACAACAGTTTTATTTCCACATAACTATTATGTACCTATGTTTATACTGTAATTTGCTCTGGATTGCACACTTGGTTGGTTAACCGAATTTTTTAATGCAAAGCCAGTATTTTGAATAAAAGATTCAAGAACTATTTTAATTGGTAAAACCACCAAATCCTTCTAGTTAAGCTGTGGATCAGACCAGCCAACACCACAACCCACACTTGATAATCTTGTAAAAATATTACTAAGCAAAGAATTACGCAACCAAGCAAATCCGTTGGTACAAAATATTAATTCAACCTTAACAACTAGAACACAACACGAACCTGTGCATAAAATGACGGAATGCGAACACTGGAGTACGGTTAAACGGCAACTGATCGAGTACAGTTGAGCTGCCAATATCGTTGATGGCGATTACACAGGTGCTAAAATTAGTGGATAGTTGACTCACACACCTTTGTCTAGTGTTGTCAACGTGGGTTTGTTGCTCTACAAAGTGTCATCACTCTTATCCGGACATCGCTTAACCGGTCGTTGTCAAAACACTACAAACCGGCAACTTTAAAGAGACCAGTCATGAATAAAAGATGAGATTACTCTGCTGCACTCTATGACTCAGCCGCACCCGCACGGATATGGTATCGATGATTAGTATTACTTTACTGTGGGGATCTACTGGTCTGCTATTAGTGGTTGCGTGGGACTTCGTTCCCAAAGGTACCGGGTTCAAACCTCGATAGTGACTAATGTATTTTGTCTAAGGGGAAATGCCACATAATCTACGCCTTGCCTGAAATAATGTGTTATAATGTCCCCAGGTTAGTGCTTATGTTCTAGAATGTGGAGATGGGGAAAAGTTGGAGTTGCCGTAATGGATTTTATCACGTATTTACCCGGCTATATCGTTATCCGACCTTTAGTGCCAAGGTGTTCGGATAAGTGGGAGTCTGATGTAGCCATACACGGGTAGGATTTAATGTTTAATCCAAGGTGATATGAGAACACAGCAATTTACAAATGTAAACATTTAATTTTACTCACTATGTAGTGTATGTATTTATAAATGTGAGTATATTTAAACGTGTATTTGTAAATAGCACGCCTAAACAAAGCTTATCTCATTAAACTTTTTTAACTA